ATAAGTCTAAAGGCGTTTTTATGTTTTCAGAGGGTTTACCCAAAATATTCTTTTTATTTAATAATTAAAAACCTGAAGAATTTCTTAGAGTAGATGGCTATACTTCCCACCAATGCATTTTAGAATAAAGTTGAGATTCACTTCAATTTGTGTGAAAAATTATGTGATTTTAAATTCTGTCACCCCGGAGTACATGTACTTTCAACAAAAATTACAACCTTGAAATTATTAAAAGGTTTTCAATTTCTCCTTTTTCTTGTAACTTGGCATTTATTGTAAAAACTCATTATTGCAAGTTGTTATTTTAAAAAAAAAAAAAATCTGATGCGGTACGCTCATTACAAAACTATCACTTATCACCATCTTCTTATCAGAAATAATTATTTTCAGACGAAGGGGAAGTGAAAGTAAAAATTATAAAATCTAATTCAATTTTTTTTCTGTTTCTTGATGGACATATGTAAAGATACAAAAAAATTTCTGAAATAGGTAGGAAAATCCTGTGGGTGGACACACCAGATTTTTTATTTACGAAAACTCTTGGAATTGGGGCGTTTTCAATCTGGAGGTTGGCAAACCTTATTTAATTAGGTACTAAAAACTCTAAAATACACATTTGCTTTCCACTTGGATCCTAAGATAATTTGATCTTAAAATCGAGAAAAAGGTTTCCAACAAAAATATTGGGTTGTTTGGCCTACACAATCCTTCGTAAAATCCTCAATGCTCCCTACTTTGTTACAAATAAAACCATCCATAATGACCTTAATGTTCCTTTTGTTTCAGATCTGGCCCAATCCAGATACCTATCCTTCCATAATAAACTTCAGAATCATCCTAACCCTCTCGTTTCTAACCTTGCTTCCTCTTCAATTCCTGATAACCCTCCGAGGCGTCTGAAAAGAATATGGCCCCGTGATCTCCTAATGTAGACATATAATTAGAGTGCTACCATTGGGTAGTTACTCAGCAAGTGTTTTTCATTTCATTATATACATTATGTTCTAATTTACTAGATGTATTTATTTAATACAGTTGCAAATGTCTTTAAGAAATAAAAAAAAATAAAATAAATATTCTTGATATCAAACTCCTTTAATGTATAATTATTCAATAACAGTTGTAAATAAAATATATATTTATAAAAATAATATGCATGTTTAATGTATCAATAATATTAAGTAATATACTTAAATATAAGTAATATTTAATCCGGGTCATGAGCTACGGTTGGATGCAACATTATGGAACGGATTTTTACATAAAATAAACTTCAATGCCGTCATTGGACCTCGAATCCTGGGGGCCATCTTGGAATAAAAGCTAAATGATGCTGAAAGGGTTTTGAAGCGTGTTCGGAAGAGAGATTTCGGAGAACATCAAAGCCTTGAAACCCCCGAATTTCCCTAAATCATCTCCTTTCATCCTCCTTACCCTGGGTTTTATATTTCACTACATAATATCCTTATGTGTTAAAAATATTGAATATGGGTGCTTGCACGGGGAGAGGGCTTTCGGGCTGAAGCCTCCCCCCCCCCCCCAAAAAAAATTATAAAATATAACCATATTTTATGGAGAAAATATTAAAAAATTATCTCTTAAAATATAATTGTTCGTTTAATTGCATTTAAAAGAACTTAAGGAATCACTTAAACACCATTTCATAAAGATAGTTAGTTTCTTTCTTTTTTCCCAAAGTAATTATCGTCATTTTTATGAAAAAAAAAAAAAAGCTTTCGGGCCGAAGCCCCTCCCCCAAAATTAAATCCTGGATCCGCTAGTGGGTGCTTGTAGCATCCGAACTAAATCAAACAGTATTCTGATTTTTTAAAATATTAGATAAATCATTTCCAGAAGTTCTGACGGCAGAGGAAGTATAGTGGTTACAATTTTTTTTTTATTGAGTATTGGTCCGGGGTGACGGTCACAAAAAGCCTGAAATAGTGAAAAAATATATTTTCATTTCAAGCCAACGTTTCGACCCAATTTCGCAGATCTTCTTCAAGGCTAAAACGAACAAGATACAAAAGAATATAAAAATGTAAAAGTTACATGATATTTAATAAAATTATGAACAGTGCAAATTATAATTATAATGCCGTTATATTGTACAATCTGCTCAATTTTCCGTAAGCCACATTTTTTTATTGCTTTTTTGATCAAATTATCTTACGATCCAAGTATAAAGCAGATGGCTATTTACGAGTTTTTAGTACCTAATTACCAAGACAAATTTTGCCCCTCTCCAGATTGAAAATGTCCCAATTCCAAGAGTTTTCGTAAATAAAATAGTTGTAGGTTACGATGAGATGAAACTATTTACGGAGTTTCGGGCGGATGTTAATAAATCGATAAAAAGGGGTCTGTAACACGTACTATATTAATTAAATTATTTATTTTTGAAGCATTGATTAAATTGTCGTTTTATAAAAAAGATTATAAACTAGACTTTATAATAAAATGAGATTGATTAGTTTATATGTACGTAAAAGACCAACTAAGCTTAACGACCTGTGATGAGGTCTGTTAATGTTAAAACGTTCGCATTTAAATAGTAAATTACGGAAAAACTGTTTTCATAGGATATTTAAATTGGAACTCATTTGAATTCTCCGCAGTTTTCGACGGCAAATGTCGGGAATATTTTTTAGAGTAACATCTCATTAAAAAAAGAGAGATTAATGTCCCTTTCAACAGATCCTTGCTAGTTTTATATTTCTTCTTAAGGAATGACCTTAATGTCTTCGAAACCTGCCTCTCCGCTATTAACGTTTTAATATAATCCCGAGGGGTTTGTAATATAGAAGGAGGAGAGCGAAGAAATATTTGGTCAATTTTTATCAACGGCCTAATTTATTCGACATAATATTTTAATACAGTATTATATTTTTATCAATGCATGTTTCAAGTTAAACTTGTGTAAATACAAAAAGAAAAATATTTTTACAATATATAAATCAGGCTTCAAAATTGATATCACTTATAGACAGCACGTCGATTTGTTTCATTACATAGTTTTAGTTAATGTTTATAATTTTTTTTTTTGTTATTGATAATTTTTCGAATTTTCATAATCTAGAAAATATATTATTAGAATATTGGTTATCAGGAGTATATCGCTACTGTTAGTGCAAACAATATGTAACAGTTGAGTTATTTTTACAGAAGAGAATAAAAACCTATTATTTCTTTATGATTTATTTGTATGATTTCATATTTTATTTCCATCTGCTATTTTCCTATTTTGTAGTCTACAAAACGTCACATTTAGCGTAAAGAGAATACACATGTAAAAAAGTTACATACGACCTTTTGCAATAACAGTAACGATAAGAGACATTTTCAAAATAAACGTTATTTTTATAAATAAATTTATATAGATGTTCTCTGATGAAGATTGAGAATATACGCCAAAAGCTTTTTATTGCTGTAAGTCGCGAAGCTTACATTGAGTAATGAACTGTGAGTCACTGCGCTATTCCTAGAAATTTTTACTATCGACACGCTAACTCCTAGGAAATTAGATTGGAGAGATAGTTACAAAATTGTTTCCATTATTTCTTTCAAATAGCTCGAACTCTTAGATCTTTGTGAATTCAGAACGTTCATTCATTGATCGACTAGGCCTTTACAATGTTTATAAATGTTATTTAATGTCTAAACAAAAGAGAACTGTGAATTTAGCTTATTATTATTTATATTTGATTTCACTACAGTAGCACTTTATTGTTTTATTTCAATAGCGATGCATTTTAAGTAGAAATGCTTATTTTTATTTTATCTGTTAACTGATCTAAAGATGTGTTTTATTAAGTAAATACTTTAATACAAAATGAAAATACGAAAATTTTATCCCTAAAAGAATTATTGTTCCCATAATTACTGTTATAAAAAAAAATCAATAAGAATAGGTAGCCTCCGTCTTTTTCCGGACACATTCGGGTATCTTCGGGAATCTGGGAATATTGTACTCTGAAGATCTTGAAACTTGTCGCCATTTTGGATTAGTGAAAGGGAAATAGTATTCTATAGTATCAAATACAATTAATGCCATTCTATACCATTTGATAAATTAATTCATGCTCATTTAGATATTACATTTGTAACACTTTTTGAGAATACTAATTGAATAAGATGTACTTTGTTCTAAATGTGAATTATACATGAGCCAGCTATAGGTATATGCTTTACTCAGTTTTCAAATCATCACTAAATAAATTTACTTTGAAGTAAAACTCGTTCCTTAACTAATAATAGCATGTTCACATTTTCTAGTCAAAGTTCAACAACAAACCGTCAAAGTTCTAACAGAACATCAAATAGTAGAAACTAAAATTGTTTATATTTTTTACTATTATTTGGCAAAGAAGAATTATATAGTATAATCTTGGGTATCTTATCGAAGAAAAGTTTTTCTGATTTTCTTTATTCTATTTAATTAAATTATAAATTGTCAGAACGATGTTTATAATAATTTATTTATAATAAAATAAAACTGAAAACAGTTTTCTTCAGGTAAAATGCTCAAGATTGTTTAATTGTTTAAATCTATATCTATCTAAATTATTAACCTTAATCATGCTTTTCAACTATCACATGAAATCGTTGTTAATTTTGTTCTGTTTTTTTTTAATTTAATTTTTATAATTATCTTTTCTTCAAGAAGTGACATATCCTATTATATCATATAAATCTTACTGTTATTCAAAATCTTTAGTTTTTCATTGAAATTAAGTATTGCTTATCTTCTATGAAATATCTTTTTTGTTGAAAGCATTTTCTTCTCTACAATATTACTATTCATAAGGTTTTCTGAATTCTAAAAATATTTCATCTAAATGATTTATTTAAAGAAATAGCATCAATACCTCAAGAAATACCACAATGTTACACAATATATTTTTAAACTGATATTTTTTTTTAAGTTACTTTTTTCTTTTTCATCTATTTTGTTGAAATATCTTAAAATGAAATAAATGATTATGTTTCTTTGTTTAAAGATGGTGACCTACATGCGAGGAAGAAGCTGAAACAGGAATCAGACAGGTTGACCAACCTCATGAACAAATACAAAGCTTCCGTGATGGATGACGCTAAGAACAAGGACAAGGACATGATCAGCAACAGCGTTGACAAATACACTTACACTCCACAAGACTTCAGCTATGACAATAAGCACTACAAGTACATCAAGTACATTAAGCATGAGAACAAGCCCACCAAGGTGATTTAAAATTATTTACTTGAAATATTTATTTTGTTTTTTTATTTTATAGAGTTTCTGGTTATAAAATACCATGCTCATCTACGGCCCCATGTTTTTACAATTTTATAATACTAAAGAAAGAAGGAAAAAAAACATAATGAAGGATTAGAATTAAGATAACTGTATTAAGTGTTCGATAATAATTTAGAATTTAATAGAAGTTTATTGATCGCGTTTATAGTTTTCCCATTGTCTCAGAGCACTATAGATATACTTTGTTAAATCCCTAGCTCATTAAAAAAACTGTGATAATAGAGACATTCTTCAAAGATATTTATTATGAGATAACTATCTCATTTCAGACATTTTGGTGGTGCATCCATTGTTATGCGATGGGCATGTTTACGCCTGATATGTCCTGTCATTAATGATGATTATACTGGTACCTTTTTATGAGATATTTATTTCTTATTTTTTTTTAAAAAAGAGTTATATTTATCACTTTTAGGTCAAAAAACAATGTAATTTTATTCAATCAGTAACTTAGACTATATGTATGGGTAGAAATTTTATTGGTCTATGAGTATGACCTTGCTCAAGATTTTAAAAAAATATTTATAATGATATTTATGGTCTGCAAATATATCTACATATATCTGTACATACATCCATGGATCTAGACCAATTTGTCAATTTCCTTAAATCTGTGTTCCTGGAAGCAACTAATTCTGTAAAAACACCACATCATACAGAAAAAGATCTACATGACCTTTAGCATAAACAAAAAAAAAAAAAAAAAGTCTGCCAAGTACAGTCAGTATAGCTTCCTCATCCTTTTCATTGGAAAAAATATATCTATATTACAACGTAAACAATTTTTCGTATGGTAATAAAATGTGTAGGAGAAGCTGATTCGGAAATACAGTTACCCTTCAACATTCATGGGTTTGATATTCACGAATTTCGTTTATCAGCTAATATTAAAATGCGAAAGAGTGCGGTATTTAAGGATTTCATAAAAAAAATAAAATAAAAAAAAATAAAAAAAAATACCAATGTATACTGAACATGTATTTTACCACTGTTAGTGCAAAAGTTTGTTTGTAAAAATTGATTGTTTTACAAGAGAGCATAAAAACTCATTATTTCTTTATAATTTGTTAGTATAATTTCATATTTTATTGTCATCTGCTATTTTCCATAGTAATAAACTACTTATATCAGTTACAGACTACAAAATGTCATCTTTAGCACAAATAGAATAGAAGTTGAAAATTTTTACATACGAACTTTTGCACTAATAGTAGTGGTATATACTTAATCGGTATGTTTTCACTCGTAAAATGGACGGAACTAGAAAATCCATAGGAAAAATTCAACTTGTTGTTTGTTCAGAGTTAACGAGACCAATACTTTTCTTCAGTCAGAAAAAAACGTATTAAGCTAGAAAATATAAAAGGCACTAATACAATGCTTCCCTACCTTCGGTAGTGAGGAAGCAAAATGTATATTCTTCTTACACATGTAGATCATTTATTTTTGTATCAGAATTATTTTTTCTATCTTTACTTTTTGAGAGTGTCAAAAAAACGTTATTTTACTAAATTTAAACATCTTCTTCACAGCCTGTTACTAACCCTCCCTATTATGAAGACAAAGAAAGAATGCGTGGAGACAATGAGGTAATAGAAAGGAAACCTGGTGCTAGGACCAAAGCTGACTGCCCTCCACAGGCCCTTCAAGCGATGGGAGACAGGCTTCTCGATTGGTTCTCAGTCATTATGGCAGATTCCAAGCGAAGGCAAACTCACCCAAGGAACAAAGGTATAAATATTGTTTTTCCTAAAGTATTGAAAAGTTTAAGTAAAGGGATTTCATTAGAATATAAGATTATTTTATTAATACCCATTACTTGAATACCCAACAACAATACACAATACCTAATTGTATTGTTATCGTGTTCTAGGTGTTGCCCGTTTCCCAGCTAGTTGCAAGAATGAAGTCCGTTGGATGTTCCACCACCTCGACACTGATACCGACACAAGGCTTTCACTCCAAGAACTATATGACCTTGAACATGACCAGAATGAGAGATGTATTAAGCCGTTCCTTGATGCCTGTGATACTGACAAGTAAAACATATGCTTTTAAACCGAAGATTAATTATGAAATATAAATAATGAATTTCATTTGTCTTTGCCATTAATAAAAAGCTTCAGATTTCTTTCTGTTGCTTTTTTTTTGTTTCAATATTGGTATCAGTAAATTCGGTAGTGATATAATAGTGAAGGTATCACGAAAATAGGATAACTTTTATATTGCCCAGCCAAATTACATTATAAAGTTTACTACATAGAAAGTGCTTGTAAGCTTTTTAAGAAATGTATTTTTATTTCAGCAAATTTAAAATAAAAGCTATCTAAAGCATTATATGAACATTATTTGGATTTTTAAAAAATTAAAAAAAAAAAAAAGATTGCTGGATTGACCGAAAATATTCTATTTTACTTTCTAACAGCCGATTATTATTTAAATTATTTTTATTGAAAATAAAGAAAAAAAGTCAAGGTTTTTTTTCAACATCACCTGTCATATCCCATGAGACTTAGTTTACGTCTATTAGCCAAATATATATATATATATATATATATATATATATATATATATTGTATGTTAGCCAAAACGTGGGAGACCTCTGGAATATTACAATAGAACTATAGCAAACGACAAAGTTTAATAATATTGATAGAGTGTCAAAGTTTTATAACATTGACATAAAAACTTTTTACTATATAACATATTTACTTTTTATCTTCAAATTCTGTCATATGTTTTATGACCAGCAGCAGATCCAGGATACTGTCATTATTTAAGTATTTATCTTAGATTACTCACTAAATGTGGATCGATGAAAAAAAATAGTTCTGTTTTAGAGGATTCAGCCCAAAATCCCTTTCCCTTAGATCCACCAATGATCATGGTTGCTTATAGATATTGAAAAGTATTTCAAGTGAGAAGATTTTATTGACTTCTATCACACATCATTTTAAGTCTGTATTTTTTTTAGCTAGATTTCATAATCCTTTAGAAAATATTTACATAATATATCATTGAACAATTTTTTATGAATTTAATTCACTGCTTCTTATCCTGGTTGTATAATTAATTAATTTATTATTATGTAATTATTTCAATAATATTTACACAGGATAAAAATAGGTTATATATATTGCATTACATATTAATCTTTATGACCGGATATTTGCATATGTTAAAAATAAAAATCCGGGCGCCATAACAAATGGGCGCTTTTAATTCTGGGAGAGACCAGAGACTAAAAAATATCTTTATTCTTTTTAATTATTTTCTTTACTTTCATCCGAATAGATATTTGCTTAAGCCCTATTTTATAATCTAATGTCAATTAAATAATTTTAATCTAAAGAAATTATGCAGTGAAATTATTTGATACCTTAATCACTTTTGTTTCATCTATTTTTCAGGGATATTTTTGTCACACCCCACGAATGGTGTAAATGCTTTGATAAAACTGACAGGCCATGTGCAGCTGTAAAAAGGAGGATCTCAACAAATATGCTAGGTAATTTTTTTTTTAATTCAACTGAATTTTTTATATCAATGATCTAACCAAGTAGTTATGCTCTTCACAGTAATGCTTTACAGAATTAGAAAAATATATTTTGATTCATAAAGCCCAGAAAACAATTTTTATAATAGTTTTAAACAATTTTCCAACTTTAGTTATTACGGAACTATCAAGAACATACAATTGAATTATTGACTTTTTTTTACTTTCCTACCTATACTAGGTAAGGAAGTATTGGTGTTTTTGACAGATCTATAAGTTTCAGAGCCACCTGACTCTGAAAAACACATTTTTAGCAATTGGGGTGGCTGGAAAAAGATTTTCTCTGGAACTACTGAACGGATTTTGTTGCTTTTTTTTTATTTTATAGGGTTTTGACTACTGATGCCACACAAATTGGATGTTCCCTGCGCAATAGCTGCTGCGCAGTAAATGAAAAACATGTTTTTCTATAGACTGTATCCCAAAAGCAGCTCTAACGATTTTGATGAAACTTTCCTGTAATGTTTTAATAATTTTCCTTTCAATTTTCGTATATGGACTAAATTCTCGAGAAAATACAGGAAAAAAGTTACAAAGAAAAGAAAAATGTTTTGGGGCCTAACTCGCTAAGTATATATTCTATGGTAAAATTTATAATAAAACTTTTGAAAGGCAATGAAATTCCCTACAAAACTGTATAAAAATCGTCCATTTTGGACAACTATTAACGAAGTTACAGCTATTCGATTTCCAATGTAAGATTACGGGTTCATATCTTGGTGTCAGAAAGGGGTGAGAATGTGAGAAAAAAGATAACTAAGTGAAAATAAAAATTCTGTTGCCCGCATCACACAAGCTTCACTATTTCCTCTACTTTTAACAGAAACAGCAATATTAGAAGGTATTGAAATTTTTACACTGATCTTCCTTAAACCGGTTTACATTGCTTTAGTTTATCAATTAAATCGTACTCAAATCTTTTCTTTGATCGATTTTCAGGAAAATAAATCTAATTCAATTCGTTTTTGTTTCTTGATGGACATTTGTAAGGATATAAAAACTTCTAAAATAGGTAGGAAAGTCGTGTGAGTGGACACACCAGATTTATTTTTTCTTCCCTTCCCTGCCTTTGTGGCTACACTGGGTTTTTCCCGGGGCGGGGAAATCATGTTGAGTTAAAAGTCCCACCAAGCACCGGGATTTGAACTTGTAATTATTTGTTAATCTCAAAACCTGGTTATCAGGTTGCCAGGCAACGCATAGTGCTGTGCACACACGTTAGCCCAGTCGGCCTTAAACTTATAAAAATCTCTTTTTTTCTTACTCTTTTATACATAATGTATTCATTATTATTTTTTTTTTTTTAAGGAGTTTATGTACCTGAATGTGACTCAGATGGTTATTATTATCATACACAGTGCCATGTTTCCGTCGGTATGTGTTGGTGTGTTGACAAGCATGGTGTGGAATTACCAAACTCAAGAACCAGGGGGAAACCCAATTGTGGTAAGATTATATATTAATTTAATATTTATGCAAATTAATCAAATATACGACCAGAATAATTAATATTAAAGATTTTTTAAAAAATATTTTTTGTTCCTAATTTGAAAAATGATCTATGGGAACTTAAATTTCCTAAGATCTTCCCTTTTCTATAGTCATAAGTGGTTGCGATTTAGTATTTTAATAATTCTGCACTCCAGAGGTAAAGAGCGCCATATCACATTTTTGTATTTGTTCGGGAAGCCAATGTCCCATAACTTTGACTATTAAAATTTATTTGTTAGTTACTAAATCTGTAGTCCGGAGGTAAAGGACAGCATATCACATTATTGTATTTGTTCATGGGAGCCAAATTTTCATAACTTTAATCTATTAAAATTTGTTTTTTAGTTACTTAATTATATAATAAAAACAAGTGAAAATGGAAGTGCCTCTGTGGTACAGATTTTATACTGAAACTTATAAAAATAAAATAAAAATAAAAATAATTCATTTATGATGTGCAAAACATAATCAAAGTGAGTAAATTTTAATTAAGGTCTGTTTAACTTTGTCATTAAAGAGGTAATGTTTACTAAAAATTAAGAAAGATTTATTTTTGGGTAATATTATCTATGTACTTGTTTGTGAAATTATTAAATTTGTCATATTGAGGTACTTCTACATAGTCATTATAAAAATTGACTTTTCCATTTTTAGCTTTTGTCTACAAGATGCTAATATTTATCTTATTTTTTAGTTCCTAATGGAATTTTATAACTGGTTGAAATATTGCGGTGGGATCAAAGAATGTAAATGCACTTTATCAAAGTATGTAAAAGTGTACAGTATTAAATTAAGGATTGTGACAATCGTATATTGTTATAGATAGAATTGACACAGTCATATATAAGACATTATAAGACTTTTGAATAATTTAATGGTGCTTCTTGTCTAGGGGGCCGCTAATGACTGCTATCTGCCAATGTTTATAACCTGAACACTGATAACTCCCATAATGCAGTGATAAGCCTTCTCCTACTTCATATCTTCGTATTATTGTATTAAATTCGTATTATTGGAAGTATAAACAGATACAAAAACAAATGTAATTACAACAAAAATACTTTTATTTGACAACAAATATATTAATGAAATAATAAAAAACACTTTAAGAACATATTTATATAGAAAAGAAAAAATATAAAACATAGAATCTGTTTTATAAAAAGTTAAAACATTCATATGTTTCTCGGCAAACTCCACCAAACATCCACTGCTGAGGTAAAACTCTCCCCACATGATTTTTTCGTTTAGAAAAAAGACTTTCGTCTACTTCAACCACTTTGCCAGGTCCTCCATTTTTTTTTTCTTTGCCTGTATAACATGTCATGGGCACAAACCTCTCTTTGACATTTGTCCCAAGTTACCATTGCTCCGTAGGATAGTTTCAGCTGCTCTTTGCCCCACTTCATCGTTGTCAAGCTATGGGACCACCCATAAATCAATTTTAAACCTGTTAAAAACGAAATCCTCAAGCCCTCCAACCATGTTCCTTTCCTTATTGAAAGTTTTGTGTCATAAGTCCTACGAAAGCATCTCCATTTGGCCTTCCTGGTTAACTTCATTCGATGACCTCGTTCACACAATTTCACGTCCGCAAGTACCCCAACATTTTGAAAATATTGAATTGCCTGTTCTTCTGAAGGCGGCAAATCCCATATTCTAAGAAGATCCATAATATGACGAATATAAGCGGGAAAAAAATGAAAAATAAACACAAAGGGGCCAAAAACTAAAAAAAAAAATGTAAAATAAACACAAATGGAAAAAAAAATTAAAAATAATGAAAAATAAACACAAACGGGCCAAGAGTAAAGAATTTAATAAGTGAATATAATAAGGGAATAACTGAAAACTAAACAATGCAATAACTCAAAGGTTCGGCGGGATAAGAAGAGGGAGGTTATGTGACGTGACATTAGATAAGATAGATAAGAAGTGAGGTTTCAGTACAGCCCCCTAGACAAGAAGTACCAATTTAATTAGCATCCCTATGTAGGTATGACTTAAAAATGTAATTATTTAGTTTCATGTTATCTTTTTATATGTATCACCGGAGATGGTGTAGTGGCTAAAAGATCGTAAATGCAATGAAAATAATATAATGTACGGTGAAAATTAGTTCAACTTAAATTATTTTGATTTACTACTTTGTACGTTGCCTTGCAGAAACATTGTTGGGAAAAACTAATAAAGGGAAGCCTTCAGACATCGTGAGCGATGATGATGATGACGACGACGACGATGACTCCGACCAAGAATTAGAGGGTAGTGCTGACCAACCCCTTGACTTTTAGATCTAGTTTTCAAAAACCAGGTAAAAGAATTGATCTATTATTTAATATTTAAGGTATTCTATTATCTGTAGTATTACATAAGTAACGATATTTAAACTAAAGAATTTTGATGAAAAGTTTAGGCTTAATAAAAATTTATTGTGAAGTAAACATTTCATGTTAGATATAATAAATGATTTCATTAAAAAAATTGAGCTGGGTCAACAACGGCTATCACCAATAGAGACTTATCATCAAGTTTAATTTCTTTGAATTTTTTTATATCAAACATGTCAAGTTTTCTTAGAAATAAGCTCTTTTCTGGCTTGTGCTCTTATTTTTCTTCTATACTTTTTTCTTTTTGCGTGAGAATGCTTAAGCCATTGGGACCAAGGGTTTCTGTCTTTATTATGGTTCCTCATTTCTCCTAAGGTCGTTATTTAAATATCGCCATATCTTTTTATTCATTTTTGGGCTTAAAAACACAGGATCCGATAATTCCAAAGGAACTATCCGGGTCTTGCTGTACGCATCAAAATCTTCAAGATCCAATTTGTCCCATATTGATCTACAGAGCTACCACCGTTCCAGTATTGAGGATTAGCAAAATGTTGGTATCGACTTTATTTATTTTAGAAAGAAAAACAAAACTAGAGAATATGATTCGCCCCCATGAAATTCTGAATCCAACAGTACTCCATTCATGGTATTCAAGCATGACATGAGCTTATATTTGGTACAAGCCTTAATGTAATAATATATGTGGGGATAATACACCCCAGATCATGAAAACATGGGTACTTTTAGGTGACAGGATAAAAATTCATTTATTTTTTAAACAATTTGAGATGAATTTCAAATTTTTGTTTAATAAACCTCAAATTTTTGTTTAATAAACCTCAACTTAATTAATGTGGACTTAAGCTCATTAGTCGACGAATTTTTTTTAAAAAGTGGTGTATCTATTGTAAAGTTAGATGATGATGAAAAAAATCACGAATAATTTATGATTTTTTTTAAAACGGAGCATAGCTTAATAAGTCCTTTTTAAATGGTTTAACTACTTGCTTTACTTTATTTAGTTTGAATTTTATATATAATTTTAGTTAATTTTATATATTAATTACTTCAATTAAATATTTCTTTACTTATCGCTTCCTAATCAACAAAAAACATGACACTTTAAAAAATACAAATTTAGGATTTCCTAAGTTTCGGCTGAAAATGGGCCAATTGTTTCAGCCCAACTTAAAAACAGCCCAAATTATTTCAATATAGGAAATTTAATTTTTGTATTTTTAAAGGAAGTATTTTTATTTTATTTAATTGCAATTTAAGTAAATAAACAAACCTCAAAATTTCCTTCAATAGCAAGTAGATTTTTTTTTTTTTTTTTTATTGAATCCATTTAAATTGGACTTGGTGAAAGTACGCCAATTTCTGTTTTAAATACAATTATTTACTATATGTGATTTTTTTATCACCTTATAACTTGGCTACAGATACCCCAGTTTTAGAAAAATATAGTTGTTTAATAAGCTTCAAGTCTGTATTAATCAAGTTGAGGTTGTTTATTAGATAATTACTTGATATTTTACCATCCCAGATTATCTGTTTTTAGCAAAAATAATTTCAACAGATTATTAAGAAACTTCAATTTCTTTTTTTTTTTCATGACCTGGGATGTATTGAAATAAATCAATTACAAAAAGACAATTTTTACTTTTAAATACATTATATAAACAAAATACTGCCTCGTCAAAAATTGTTGTTTAAAGTGTTAATTCATCAGCGATTTTCTTTTATGAGAATTGATTGTTATTAGATTAAATGACCAATGGTCCTTTTTTTTTTTTTTTTCTTTTTTTTTAATTCACAACTGTCAATGTCTACTGACAACCAGTGAATGAGATAACTATATTCAAATTAACTAGGAGAAAGGGCATGATAGACATGAGGAAAAGAAAAACCCAGTGGCTAATCTTCGGTCATGTTAGTGGTTAATGAAGGAGATCTCTCATCCAACTCCTTTTCAGCCTTCTGCGGATGTTATCGGGCATGTTTTTATTGGCCATGTCTTAGATGAGTCTATTGGGGTGACCATAAAATTTGCTGTGAAACCTTTTGTAATAAGTTTGTATGTGTTCTGTGATGGTTTGCTTGAGTAATTTTCCTGAAGGTTTTGGCCTGAAATATTTGTTGTTTCTGAATGTGTGTTTTTTTTAGCAATTCCATATATTTGTGACACGTATGTCCAAATTGATTTTAGTAAGTAAGTGTAAATGTTAAGTTTTGGTCTTAGGTCTAGTTTTGAGTGACTTCCCAGTCTTCCCTAAGAATAATAACAGAGTAACAAATTTATGGATCTTAGTCTGACATAATAAAAATACAAACTAATTTACTGTTAATTGTTATTTCAATTGTGCAATATATTGAAATTAAACATTGTACAGATGCAAGTAATTTTACATGTTAGGGGAAGTTTGAATGTGGAGTAGGTGTTGAAACAGGAGTTGTTTGAAGGAACTTGTGGACAAGGATTGACGCATGGAGGTAGGAAGTGAGTTCCATAAGGAAGCAGCAAGAATGACGAAGGATTTGCTGAAGGAGGAAGTTTTATGGGCGGGAATATATGTCTATAGGTTGAGACCTAGTATTGAGAGAGTGGATAGAGGAGCGTAGAGTAAGGGGTTCCAGGATGTAGAGAGGGCTTTTTGGTTCTGAAGACTTGGAAAAGGAAATCACCAAGGAGGAATTACATTGATGATAAGCTATTACATTAAATTGTTATTGGTGTCGTCTATATCTTGTGCCACAACTATTTTCATTTGCTCGATCATGGCTGGTTATGAAATAAAATATCCCATTCCATATAAAAATATTCTTCTATGGCAGCCATATTGCATCTTTGATGATTCGATATATCCATTTACTTTTTGCTCTTTTGCCTACTATTGAGGCATTCATTGTTGTATGACCAGTTTTTATAAGAAGTTCTTTATTGGTCTTTCTTCTCCATGTATTAGTAGTCTGATCCCAGATCGCTCTGGTTATCAAAATCTTTCAATGCTTTTTTTCTAGGGCACTGATTAGTATCCTTGGACAATATTTTCTTTATTAGATAACCATTAATAATGAAAATGTTATTTGTAATAGTAATTTATTTAATTGTTAATTATGTTATATGTTTTAGGCCTACCACGAAGCAATGCTGTTTGTATTGACGCGGGCCTAGGTTTTGACAGATCTAGATGGACTGAGATTTGCTATGACGCCTTGTGATTCAGACAATGCACACCTAACTATTATCCAACGTAAGATAAGACACAGTGTTGTTTTGTTTTATCCTCAACAGGCCGCAAGATAAAATCTTATAAATTATCATGAGCAGATCTTTTTCCATATAAAAAAAAAATATATATATACCATCAATTAATCATCGTTGTCTCGAATCAAGATGTGCACTCCCCATTTGAGTAAAAAAAAAAAAATTGTTCGCAGTCTTTAAGGCCAATTTCCATCATGTGCAATTTAGCCTGCAAGATGCGCGAACTCTCAGATATACACAGCATTTTGCTTTGTAGATTTTAGATGATCTTAATGTAACTACTTATAGTGACACATTTCAGTATTTTCAAAATAATGTAATGTTATAGCCTGCAGCAGCGTATGTGTTTTAATGTTAGCTGTCGATTAATGCATTGTCAAAACTGCTTTTTCGTTGTAATCTTTGTACCTAATATTTTTTTACTTAAAATTAATTTTGTAACATTATAAAATGCCCAGTAACCTTCCACGGAATAGTAAACAATTTTTGCACTAAGGGATATTTGTGAATATAAATATTATAATGATAAAATAAAGTTTAGTAAGTATATAGAGTATGTATCGAACTTAATTTAATTTTTTTTATTTTTTTTTTATTTGAGGTTCCGTCAAACTTCCGAAAAATAATGCCATTCCATGTAAATTTAAAGTAACGTGGGCTTCGTGTAGCACGCAAACTTTAAAAGGTTTATAATTGTAAGATAGAATTTTATTTTATTTTTAAAAAAAAAAAAGAAAGATGAATTCTGAAAAAATGATCAATATTGGAATTTTAAACTCTGAACCGTCCGCCTCATACAAATTATCAGTATCACAAAATATTTTGTTTTAATTTTCTTTAACAATTTTTTTTTTGTTTATATATATAATCATAATTTAATTGGGCAAATAACTCAATATTTACTTAATAATTAATATAATATAATGATAAAAAAATGTTTAAAAATAAAACTGTTAATAGCCTCTATACCTAAGTAAAGGACCAATGGTGGTGCTTTAGTTTCCTTTTTCAATTCTTGGGGTAGTCAAAATATTTTCTGAATGCTGCACAACGCTTTTCTTTATTTAGTAAAAATTAAAAATTTAATAACCTAGATATTGATGTTATTATTTATTAAAGAAATTAGTTCTTATGACTTAAAGGTGATATAATGTTGTTTTGTATTGTTTTAGTTTTAAAAAAATAAAAATAAAATTTGAGTACTTAAGTTTTACCAGTGTTAAATATATAATTAAACAAATTAATTAATATGTTTATAGAATGTTGTATCTGTGTTAAATTATATTAGGTGTACGGTGTTTATTATTTTTAGGCAGTTATCGTTAGTCAGAAATTAAATGTAAATATTTTACGTAACTGCTCATGACCTCTCCTATTCTTAAGGTTTTGTTAATATACTTTTGTAGTTGTCTAAAATCACTGATAATCTTCTGTGGATGTTTTGTATTCGTATTTATGATTTATATTAATATTATCAGTTAAGGTTATTATGGATATTATTTTACTTCATTTGGTGCCACACACATTTTATTGTTAACATATGCTTTTAATGTTTAGTATGTGATTTAACTATTAACTGTTGTGTATTTACTGAAGAGAATATGTAACTATGTAAAAAATAAACAAAAATAAAAAACCCACCATGTACTCATTAAGATGAGTAATGCCATCAGTGAGGTAAATTTGTTATCCATTGCCAACAGACGTAGTCATGATCAGAGATTACACTTTTATGTAACGAAAAATTGAAAATTCTTTCAACATTAAGTATGCTAAAAAAAATGTGTATAATATATAAATTCAAAATAATTAATTATTTTCCAGAACTTCAATAAAAATGAGTTGTTAATGTTATGAAGAAAAAAAAAGTCTTAAAACAATTTGTTGCATGTAAAAAAATATTAATTTTTTAAAACTAAACTAACATGAGAACACTGTGTAATAAAAAAAAAATACATAAACACGCAATTTTTAAACATATATTTAAATGTGTCAATAAAGTATTATATAAATTTATATTTAAATAAATTCTTTAATCGTAGTGAACTAAAATTTGATTTGTTTTGTGTTCATAAAACGATCAAGTCGATGTTGAGGTGTTATTTTTTAAAAAATAACCAAACATTTACATGGTGTTTCAATCTCTGGTCAGAACGTATTAAGTACATAAAAGCTATGTATTTACAAAAGGCAATAAATAATTTTAAAAAACCTTCTGAGTACTCTTTTGAATAAACTAATTGTTTCAACCAAAGTTGTAATTAATAAAGTGCAAACTTGTAAATGGAATGTGGATTATAATTTTTGCTGTTATTTTCTGTACATTTATGTATTAACCTTTTTTTAACTTCTTTTTTTGTTTTAATATTAATTAGAATTGTTCTAGGTTTGATTATTATTCAGTTTTTTTTATTATTAATTGAAATATACTAGATTTTCCTACAAAGAATTCAGGATTTAGGATTTACATAATTGTTTTATATTATACTCTCTTAACCATTTCACTGTATTTTAGAAGAAATAATCACTTTGTAACTAGTAACCCTCTTACCGAGGGTTCTAACGATACTTCTATCTAAATACAAAAAAAAAAATTAATAACTGTTTAGTTCATTTTAAAGTATTGTACTTTTATATTTATTATTAACAATCAGTTAATATCAGTGTATTCAAAGTAACAAGTGAAATATAGTGAAGTTTGTCCTAATATCCTTGTTTATTTTTACCCTGACATTTTTTTCATTTATGAAGAATATCGATAAAAAAATTTATAATATATATCAGGTGTGTAAATGTGAAACCGGAATTTGTCCATAGATGGCTCTAGTTGTTATTGTAGTTACCATTAAACCACATTATTAGCATCATTTTGTTTCTCATAACAGTTAAGAAAGAGTTGGTCGGGGGTGCGGTCAAATAAATACTATAAACTAGAATAGTATTTTATTAATTATACCTATTTTATTAATACACCTGTTTTATTAATTAGGCAGGCATAATTAATAAAATATTATTCTAGATTATTGTATTATTTGACCACACCCCTGACCAACTCTTTCTCATATCATAATGACGTTCAACCATCGCTACACCATCATAACAATATAAGCTTCATATAACAGTATCATATTAATAGTGTTGAACATGTAGTGTTCCATGCCTACAAATTATGATTTGTGAACAGCATTCATTTTCTGTTACAATTTAAAGAAAACTGGCAGAATCACATCAAATGGTTTTCAAAGTTTGCTCTTGGTAAATCAAAGTGCTTTTAAAAATTTAAAAGTGGCAATTTGTAATTTAATCTAAGTTGATTAAGTGAGACTTCACTTGGACAAGAGACTGACATGGAGAATCCACACTACACTAAAAAGACAAAATGGATAATTGTCCATGTTACCTTAAAAATACTCCAAATTATCCTTAACTAACAAATTTAAAATCAACAAGTTATTTATAAAACCTTTATGGGCTTATGAGATAGAGCTATAGGACACTGCGAAAACTTCCTCAGACACTTTAATCAAAAGTTTTAAGAAAAAATAGTATATGCATCATTTTATGTTATCTATGACTTCCTACACAAAGAAATGGACATCCAAACAGTTTCAGATATCGCAAAACAATATACATATTTTTTTTTTTTCTCTCCTACCTCGCCTTTTATGCTATGCGGGGGTTTTCCTGGACCAGAGGGTGAGGGTGGGGGATTTAAAAGACTCCCAGACACCAGGACGTGAACTCATAATTTTATTGTCTTCAACTTCGGTTATCAAGTTGCCAGGCAACGCACGGTGCTGTACACTCACGTTAGCCAGTTTGTCCACCTCTCCCCTCCCCTTCTCCCTGCAACACAATACTATAAAGACATCCATCAGAGACTGACTTATATTAACCCTTTAGCCCTAATACTTATTTTACCACGAATCCATATACCCAACCCCAACGACTTTTAAGGTGATGGATTTACTAGCTCAATTTTAACCTCTTCATTTATTTATGTAATTTTCACAGACTTGCTTATTGCAATATTTTACATATGGAAAATTTCAAGCTTGCCAAACTTATATATTTGTTCAAATAATAAATATATAATTTACATTAATAATAAAAACAAAAAAATATTAATTTAATTATGTGAGAAATTGGTTCGGGTACTCAGTCATTGAAAGAACTAAGTAAAAATAAATAAATTATATTAATTTTTGTCCTCTATGATGACGTTTCAGGCCATTATCAGGGCTTGATGATGGCCTGAAACTTAGGCCGAAATGTCAGCACAGAGGACAAAAATAAATACTTTGTTCTTTCATTGAATGAACACCCCAACCAACTTTTCTCCAAATATCTTCTACAATCAATTATTATCCACTGTCAAATATTAGTTTTGTAGGATATGAAGGAAACCAAAGAAATATTTTTCTATTTTATATGTTCAATAATCATTATAAAATGATTAAATGTTTCACAGGATAACATTTCATTCATCAAGTTTTTATATTAAAGAACACTGAAGAATAAAACTGGTGAAATTTAGGCTATATGTTAGTAAAATTAGTCAATTGCTAACAACAGAGTTTGTAATGAATCCAAATATAGGGTGGTTTGACCTTTGATAATCCCATCAGCTCATGCAATCTGTGTGTTTGGATTATTGAATGTTTAATTTAAAATTATGGAAAAATTGCCCTAGGTAAGGAAAATACATGTATTACCAGTTAAATATAAACACATTGCAAAATAAAAAATGATCATATAATGTACGTTGAGTTTCTGGTTTTGTTGCTCAATAAAATTCCTTAAAAGTACCAGGCTTCCCTAGTCGATATTTTATCCATTCGTTCATTCCAAGTAAGTATTAAATAGAGTTTCTAATACTTATCTATAATAACAAATAAAATTGGTGTAAAGAAATTTTCCAGAAAAATAAAAAGTAAAATATTGCTTTTTAAATTATAAAGGCAGCCAAACTTTACAAGCATTAAAATATGATTTTTCTTCCTTTTTAAAATAATTATCAAAGAAAAACTTTGCTTTCAGCTAATATATCCCCGGAAATTATACACCCTCGTAATATCTTTATTAAAAATCACATATTAAAAGATTCCTCGTCTTCTGGATCACCACCTGTTTTTAATGTCTTCCTTTTAGAAAAGTCACAATATGATTTCAACACTACCACATGAAGTAATTCCAGTAATATCTACTGAGAAACAGAGCCTTTTCTATTCTGTTTCTCAGGCTAATAAGAGCATAACGAAATGTCTATATGAATCAAATACAACAATTAATAAAGAAAATAATAATTAAAAAAATAGATTGTTACTAATATTTATTTATTAGGATTGGTAGTTCTGGTTAGCACTAGTATATATATATAATTTATATGCTTTTTGTAAAGCAAAAAGTAATAATGATAAATTGACAAATAGTTATTGTTATCAATTATTCATTGGTTGTCAGTGAACACTGATAGTTGTGAGAAAAAGTGAAGAGAAAAAAAAATTATTGAAAATTTAAAGTAAATGTTTGATTCATGGTCAACAAATCCTCATATTTTAAATTTCTAATAGAAATTCTTTTACAATTAAACACATTAACAGAAATAAAAGCAAAATTATTACAGCCTAAATTAAGTAATATGTTTTAAAATGACAATGACAAGTTAATAAAAGCATGAAGAAATGTCTTTGTAATCAAACACGTTAATTAATAATCAAAAAAATAACAAATAATATAAATATCTAGTTATAATTATTTATCAGAATTAATATTTCTGCTTAGAACCATTATAATATCATTTTAGATCTGATCAATAAAATAAAAAAGAATAACGATAAATTGGCATATTGTTATTTTTTTAATGATGTAGAGATGGTTGACCATTGATATAATATGAGAAGGAGTTAATTGGGGGGTGTGGTCAAATAAATACTAAATTAAAATATAGTAATTATTTAATTTTTACCAACAATAACGATAATAATAATAACAATTAAATAATTACTATATTTTAATTTAGTATTTATTTGACCGCACCCCCCAATTAACTCTTCTCATGTTATTTTTTTAGTTTTATATGACAATATTTTATTTATTTTTTACTTATCACATTTTTCTTTGTTGATTAAGTTAAAAGTATAAAGAAATGTCTTTTTAAACTCACACACACACACACACACACACACACACACCAATTAATAATCAAGGAAATAAATAAATAGCTTGTTATAATTATTTATTAGATTTAATATTTCTGGTTAGAACCAATATAGTATACATCATTTTAACTCAGACTAATAAAATAAAAAGAATAACGATAAATTGAGAAATTTTTAATAAATTTATTAAAGCATAAAGAAATGTCTTTTTAATTATACACGTACTAATATTATTTCTTTTTTACTTATCACATTTTTCTCTGTTAATTAAGTTGATAAAAGCATAAAGAAATGCCTTTTTAAAACTTACACACCAATTAATAATCAAGAAAATACTAATATGAATAGCTTGTAATAATTATTTATTAGAATTACTTATTTTTGGTTAGAAACAATAGGTCATTTTAACTCACATTGATAAAATGAGAAGTAATAACGATCAAAATTTTAATTGTTATAAATTATTTGTATTTTTAAAATTATCCTAAGATATCTGCCAAAGTATAGAAAGCTGGAAAAATTAATTATAAATAGCGCCACAAGAGTCCAGCACTACCCAAACAGGCATCAGCGAAGTCATATTCTCGTAGAAAATTTTTATTTTGTATTAGGATAGTGGGAGGTAACAGGAGCTTAACTAGTAGGTATGGATTAAGTACACGTGCACTCATAGTTCCACCGGCTGCCGCAAGGCAGCAGCACCGTCGGGGCTAGGTCGAGCTCTACCAGTTGAGCTCCTTTGACCTCCCACTGTCCTAATACAAAATAAAATTTTCGAGCTTGAATTCGGTTTGGCAAACGCCTGTTTGATTGGTGCTGGCCTCTTGTGGCGTTAATTATAACTATTATTTTCCAGTTTTCTTGATTTGTGCTGCTATCTGTAGAAGATTCGTAAAACATTTATTTTAAATTCTCATAATTGATGAGAATAACAATTTATCGTTTATGAATGAACATTGATATATAATAATATGTAATGATATACATAAAATCCATGCTATATGATTGATTTATAATAAAAATATTTTTTATTTAATTAAATGGAGTATCTATATGTTAGCTCTAACCGGAACTATCTCATTTCTGATAAATAAATATAAATAACTTTTTCAATTATTAATTATTTCTTTAATTGTTTCTTGATTAATTTGGACATTTCTTTAGGCACTTATGGACTTGAACAATAGTTAAAATAAAATGTAAAATAGTGAAATGCAAATAAATAAAATATTGTCATTTAAACAAATTATTCGACTTATACAGTAACAATTAAAGATTTCTTTCTGTGAATGTAGATATATAAAATAATATGAGGATTTTACTATTATAAATTAGTTTTATCAATTTAAAACTATTTTCTCAAAGATCAAGGTGAGTTTTCAGGTTCAATGTTGGTGATAGCACCAAAGAACTTGTTAAAAAAAAAAAATTATATATATAAAGATTAGAAATTACATATATTTTTTGTATTCTTAATTGTCTGGGAAGTTTCAAAAAAATTGAAATTGTGAAAAGTAAATGTAAAATAGTGAGAATACAATTTTTTACTTATTTTTTTTTCAATTTTTTACAAGTGGGTTCAAAATTATTTATTAATTAGGTGGTTGGGAAGAAATAAAATTTAACAAGTTAAAGTATAACAAATTAGTAGTTAGTGTCTTGTCTCTAGTTTAGTGTTGAATTAATCATATTCGTCTTAACATGGTAGTCCATAATAACACAAAATTCATAAGTTTTTGTTTAAAATTCACTATTTATATAAATTTAATACTATTTTCTCTGTGATGGGTTCGGAAAGTAATTTTTACCAGATATTTTTTATTAAAAAAATATATACATGGACATATAAATATTTATATTTGTTTTTTAAGCAAACAGGCAAATAAAATTTGAAACGATTCTTTTTCCTTATTATAAATTATTTTCTTTATTACAGCCTCATAACCTTGAGTAAGGTACATCATTGTATTTCTTTACGTTGCACCTTGCTTCTCTTGGATTTAAACTCTTCTCTCATTTAGTTCAGTCCCTTTTCCATAATCAAGTCGTATAGCTACTTTCAGTGTCCCTTCACTCTCAACCATTTCAGTTCTATTTCTATCACTTAATCTCTTTTCATTTAAAAAAATGGAAATAAGGAAAATATATCTAAAATAAAAAAAAAAAATAAACAGGGAATAATAGTCTAGAAAACCACAGATCTATTTAATCACATATATTACAATAATATCATTTAAATGAAATCATAAAACAGTATATTTTATAACATAGAAAATTGTAATTTATAATAATAAATCTTTACAAACAATTATAAAATAAAATAAAATTGGAACCAAAAGATTCATCATTAATATAAGCGTTAATTAATGTATGTGAAATAAAATTATGATACAATCACAAAATACAATATTTCATAGCATTAATATTATTATTAGAACGATTGTAGTTAAATAAAAATCCTCAATAACATTTCTATCTAAAATATAATAAAGGAATATTATCTTGAAATATTTCTTTCTTTGATGTATTGAGAGAGTACCATGAACTACAAATAAAATACCAGTTTTGAAAAAAATTTGTTTATGGTACAGAACATTTTGATGTCCTATAAGAGGATTTATGCAGTCTCTCACAATATAAAAAAAGAGACAAGAAAATGAAAGATGAAACAAAATGAAAGATGGAACAAATAAAGTATGATCAATAGTTAATTGTGTGTTTATTATGTCAAAAACTAGGATATTCAGTATAACTATTTGTGAAAGTTGTTACAAGTTCAATGTGTACAGCTTTCAGTTTTTAAGATCACTGATAATGGAAATCATAATTATTTAATTAAATAAGTTATCAGTCTCTAAGAAGGAATATCAGATAATACAGTTCTCTGTAGATTGCTTACAGGTTAGGCCATCGATTCTTCAACTCCTGAATTGACCCATTGAAGCGATTCCTGTCACATGGTCCGACACCATTGACAGTCTTGGGAGTGCCACCAACCTTACCATCGGTATACTGCCAGAGAATCCATGAATTCCAGTGGTTTGGTGTCCTAGGAGCAGATACGCCAGTGTAGTGCGATATCCAAAGTGGACACTTTTTCAAGTTTTCCAGGTTATACGGTTGCAGGAAGTAGCGGTTACCATATAACATTGGGTAACGACCAGTCTTCTCCTTAATCCTCTTAACAAATTCTTCAGCTTCATTCGGGCTCATCTCAGCTCCCTTATTATCTTCCACGTCCAGCATGAGTAGAATTCCATTTGTGTCACCCACAGTTTCCAAGAAGTGGTCAGCTTGTTTCACAGGTTTCCCCTTGGTGCCAAAGTGGTAGGCACCCCAAAGGAGTCCTTCCTTCTGTGCTTGAATTTTCCTAGGAGCATATGTTGAGTCCACTCCACTCACTCCCTGAGTTGCCTTGTGTACCACTGCTACAATTCCATCATCTTTGACTTTAGCGAAATTGACATTATTCCAGTGTGAAAGATCTATCACTGCATTAGAAATTTCACCGTTTATGGCCCACATCATTCCAAAAACTAGCAATAAGATGAATTTGATCATCTTAGAATGTACAAAACCTGCTGGAATCTGAAAAAAAAATATATATGGTTAAATATTTAATCTAAGATTAATTATAATTATTTTTGTGATAAAAATTTTGTATTTTCTAAGTTGAGAGCGAACATTTAACTTGATTGCCATCCATGTTATGTGATCACCTGAAGTAACCTCAACTAGAATATAGAACATAGTTTTTCTGTAATACTAGTAATGGAACATAAGCTATCCTGAATAACAAAATTCTGGATGAGATAATTTTCTACACTATTGTCATTTATTAAAGTAATAAACAAAAATATATATTACACTGATATGTAATTATACCAGCAATAAAATGTGTTATTGTATGATGAATTACAAAATGATTTTTTAAATATAAATTAGAATTTAAATTGCATAAATAAAATCAACGTCATTAAAAAAAGTGTACTAGTTAGTGTAGTAGATTTTATTCATTTGAGTTTTTTAAAGAAATCATATCAAACAAAAAATAAACAATAATTTTGCTTTGATTAGAGTAATAATTTATCTCATATGAATTACTTGGTTCTATTGAGTGGTTTGTTTAATTAATTAGTTGAGAATAAAAGTAATTTAATAGATCAATTTATTAGCAAAATCAAAAGACCTTTTAAATAAATGATTTTTAAAAATAAAGGTTCTCTACAACCTTTACTTAAACTTTTGCAACAAAAAAAGTTCTAGTTCCGAAATAATGGACGAAAAACTAAAAAAAAAAAAAAAATACTAGTCATATCAAACTAATTAAAAATATAAGATAAAGTTTCATTTCAAGTCCGGAAATTAACTATGTTATTAACTACAGAACCAGCAATACAAAACTATATAAATTTAAATTAATAAGCGAAAAATAAATTTTAAAGACATAATGATAAGATCAGGAATGATAATATAATAATAATAATGATAAGAATCAGGAAATAACATGGAAAGCAAAAGAACAATATGAGATTCAGAAAGATTGAGCAATCAAAGAAAGAAATTGCGTTATCAGAGGCCTAATTGCGTGAATGCGATATCTTATAAGTCGAGTTATAAATTCAATCCATTGTTTATTTTAACTCGTTATTTGACAAACTAAAATTAAATTTTATGATTGAAACGATTACGAACAATCTACTCATTCAAATACCATTACTAATTTATTTATTTTATAGATCGGTTTGGTTTAGAGAAAATATATTAATATTTAAAAAAATATGCAACAATGAATTATTATTTAAAGATTCTATAAGAAATAAGTATTATTCCAAGTTTTTAATACAAACTAAAAATTACATATTTTTATCATACTTTTTTTTTACAAGATGAAAAAAACAACATTATTTTGAGTTTATGATTGTACGAATATACAGCCAGAAGGGGGTTTGATGACGCAACCTGCGCCATAAGTATTTTTGAGGGGGTCATATTTTGGTAGATTTTTGAATATTTGAGGGGGCTCATTTCAGCTGGGCCATGAATTTTCAGAATGAAAAGTTCCATTCCAAGAGACAAGGGGAAAACCTGGAACAGACAGCAGCAAGCATAATTGTATATGATCTTTTTTTAATTCTACATTCGCTTGCTCTGTTTTTAAGAAAAAGTGACTAATAAAATATCTTGGGGGGATGAGCATTCCTGAGAATATCTACACACGTTTTGGGACCAAACTTATATTAACATTCTTTCTTTAATAAAGTTCTTTAAGATTGACATCATACAATATCATTTTGAAAAGGAATCTTAATCATTTTTGGAACTTTAATTTTCAAATAATCCAATATGTAGGAGAATGTATAAATAATTATTATCAATTGTTTATTTATTATTTCAATCAAACCATTATCTTATTAAAACGTTTTTTAAGAGAATTAGTGCTTCAAAGATTATTGACAAGATGCTACAAATAATCATGAATAGTTTTGTATAATTTTTTTCCAAATTGAATCTGATCTTGAGGGATACTTTAATATGAGAGTTTAGAAAAAGGAATTATGATGAATAGTGGTGACCAGCAAATGAAAATTCAGCAAAAATGAATATATGCTTATATGAATATAATATAAACATAATATAGGACATATGTTTAATAAGTGTTTATTTTTTTTTAATACCTATATAACATAATTAATTAATATTGATCAATTTTTTTTTCTATTTCATTTTTTAAATATTACATGCTACATTCTGGTTTTACGTTCTAACTGATACATAATTATTTTTTTGTTTTTCATTTCAAAGTAACCCTTTGAAAGGACTGTTTATTATTATGGTACATTCCATACAAATATATATTATGCACCTTAAATATATCATTTTATCTAATAATCTTAACATAAACTAATTACAAACATAATAGTTAGTATAAATATAAATAAGAAAAAGATACAAAATTTAACGAACAGAGTTTCTTAAAATTACAAAATTTATAAAACAGGTAAATATAATTTCACAGTTTCTTTATAAATTAATATATTATACAAAATTATGGGCGGCCTTATCTGATATGCTTTACCACTTCTTCAGTTTTTTGTCAGTTGGTCATAATCTAGACTATGGATAAATTTTGTGAGGTCTTGTCGAAAGTTATTGTACCATGATAATGTTTAGTGTTATAAAAAAAAATGATGACAAATAAATAAAATATTAATAGTAACAAAATGTTGTTTTGATATTATTACAATGATCTTAGTAAGAGAGTAAAAAAAAAAAATAAAATATTAATTTAGATTTTTTTTTTAGTGCCTGGATACAATGAATTCAAAATACTTTTTATTTTTCCTTTATCTTCATCATAGTGTGTCCCACGACTTTGTAACCAAATAAACTTGATAAATTATTTGCAAAGGAAAGATACAGGCAGTGGATAGACATTTTTTTTTTTAATTTGAGTTTTGAATTCAATTTATCTTCAAAAATAAAATCTCAAATTTTGAAGGGCAGGATTTTTTTTTATTTATTAGTTTTAAAAAATAAAAATATATAGTTATATTTATACTAAGCAAATGACAAAACAAAAATACTGAGATTATAAGATTCCTAGCTCATTAAAATATAAAGATGAATTTAATGGTTTCTTTTTGATTTATCTAAATCTTAGTCACTATTTTTCATTTAAATGTTTCATCTGTCATAAGTTGTAATTATAGATTGTTAAAAGACTATGAATTTTTTATTTATTTATCGCAATTTAATTATAGCAATGAATAAAAAATTAATTAGTTTTGATTTGAAATTGATTAATTAAAAGCTGTAATAATACAGAACTTACATGAGAAGTGTTCCGCTCAACCAATTGTCTTCCTCTGTAGCCATCTTGCTCCAGCCTTTCCCTATTTATAGCAGCAAAAGAGAAAAATAAAATTTCGTTTTAAAAAACAAGAACAAAACAGGAGAATATGTTATTAACAGACTCCATAATTGGAGGGAGCCATAGCACTGGTTTTTCCTCCACCTTTACCCCCACATTATTGATAGATGGCAAGATAAATTAACTCATCTCAGGTCCTTGGCTCAATTAAACAATACAAAAATATAACACTATTAATGATAATAAATACAAATAATTACTTTATTATTAAACAATTTGAAATAATAATAATTAAAAGTTTGTCACTGTTATTGATTATTTATATTTAGCAATATATGAAAAATATAACGTATATTTTTGAAACTAGATAACCCTGAATCATGGAACAAGGCTTTATCTTCATTATTCACATATTATTTATAAAAATTAACAAATATTTCATAATGTATTAGAATTGTTTTTTGCTACGCATATTAGAAGAATTTTATGATATTTGTCAGTTAATTTATTAATTTTCTTGTTATTTTTGTTATGCACTATTCATGCCATTCATTGGCATAATATACATAATTTTATGTATAACTATTTATGATCAATATTTCTGTTTAAAGGTTTTCAATTTGTTTCTTTCCTGTACGATTGTATATACTTATTTAAAAATGTTTTAAATAACAGATATATATTTTTTAATAAGTTTAAGACCTAAGATATGCTTACCTATTAGAGGAATTAATTTTTTCTTTTTAAACACAGATAAATAAATATAGTTTAACTATTCTTCATTTGTTTTTTATAGTTATAATAACATAGTTTTATTAGTTAGTCAATTAATAATGCCAAGGCATATACCTATCTTCAATACGTATTATCAGTTTCGTACGACTTTTCGGTTTTGAGCTAGATTGATCACATACATACACACACAGAGAACATTTTGAGGGATTTGGTTATTTCGACTCAGGGGACCTCAAAACTAGTGGTGGGGTGTTTAGTAGCAACCTGTTTAATTTAAACAGTTTCTTTCATTAAACAGCTACAGTAAACTGTTTCACTCCAGATTAAACAAATACAAGGATTAACTTCCATCAGGAGGGGACAAGTTTTTAAAATCAGAGCTGAGCTCATCGAATAGATCTCTAAACGGAGCAAAACGAAGTCATCGATGAACACAGTGCGGAGTATATAGGACAACTCACCCAAGACAACTCACTTTACAGATTAGTAGGTGGAGACAGCGATCCCGACGGAAACACTGAATCTGTTTAATTTAAACAGCTGTCCGAAACAGCTACAGAAGCTGTTTAATTTAAACATAAACTGAAACCTGTTTCATTTAAACAGGTTCTTGCAACTTCTCACAAGAATGAAATCAATACTTCAGCTTCTTTAGAATATATATAAAAGAATAAACCCTAATTTACACTGTATTGATCTCTGCGTTTTTGTTTTATCAAAACGTGGTGCCAAGATTATATTGAGACTTTACGCCACTTTCTAAAGCTCACTTGAAATATCTTAGAATCAATAGCTGGTGCAATTAGAGACTGTCTTCATCAAAGAGGATAAACACTAAAAACATATAAGTAACAATAAAAATATATGAATGTATATTTTTGTTAAAATAAGAAAAAGTTTTCATTTTTTAAACTTAATATACATTTTCCTCCCTTGAAATAAAATTAAAACAGTAATTTCTATTCTTTTTATTATTTCTAAAAGATATTTACAACTGTATTATATAAATACATCTAGTAAATTTGATCATATAGATATAATGACATGAAAACACTTGCTGAGTAACTACCCAATGGTAGCACTCTAATGATATATCTACATTAGGAGATCACGGGGCCATCTTCTTTTCAGAGGCCTCGGAGGGTTATCAGGAATTGAAGAGGAAGCAAGGTTAGAAACGAGAGAGTTGGGATGATTCTGAAGTTTATTATGGAAGGATAGATATCTGGATTGGGCCAGATCTGAAACAAAAGAAACATTAAGGTCATTATGGATGGTTTTATTTATAACAAAGTAGGGAGCATTAAGGATTTTACAAAGGATTTCGGATTGGATAATAGAGGAATTCGTTGGTTTAGTGGAGCTCCCTAGCTTAACTCCGTAAGTCCAAATAGGTCTTATTATAGTCATGTATGTGAGTCTTCTGTAATTAATTGGAAGTTTAGAGCATTTGTCTAGTAAGTGCTGAAGTAATCGGAATCTTCTTGTCGTTTCAGTCTGATATGTATTTGTATTGAAACAGGTACAAACTTACCCAATTGGAACTAATAATTTATATTTAAATATATTGTTGGCGCTATGTTAAAGTAATAAATGTGCAACATTGGATAGGTTCACATTCGTTACTTCAACTATCAGCAAACTCAATAAACATAATTTTTTGACAGCACATCCGGACCATTTTTCATCCTTTCAAAAAATTAAAACATCAGTATAACCAGTAGCCCCAGACTGAAACTGGGTTCAGTTTCAAGGGACCAGCTAAAGTTGAAGTAATTATGATCTACGAATGAACTATTTTCATTCAAGATCAGATTTACCCTTGAACCGGAGCAACTGACCCTGAAAAAATAGTAATCATTTTTTAAAATAAATTAAAAGTTAGAAGAAAAATTTGCAGAAATATATAAAGGCAAGGGATAACTACATTCGTATATAAAAGATTTTATTTACAGTATTTTAACATAAAAGAACAGATTTGTAAAAATTCACATCCAAAACTTCACAAAAATATGACATTTTTAATTGACTATTATAATTTAAAATATAAATATATTTATTTAATATTTTCAATAGGATCTGAAAAATGTCTGATAAATATAGTTCAATTAAACTTTGAGGAGTTATTATGCATTTTTTTTTTTTTAGCTTTAGCACAGCCATTTTTGCATTAAATAAACTATTATACATTCATATATTTTCCAGACCCTTAAATAATGAATGTGCTATACACAGCATTGACAAAAGGCACAAAAAGCAGTCAATTTAGCAACCAAATAACATTTGTAATTCGTATTCACAAAAGCGTTTTTCATAAGGCAATTAGACAATGGACAATAAAAGCGAGCGCCTTTAAAATATCAAATATCTCCCCACCCTTCCCTAATTTTAATGTTTAGAATAAGAGATGAATAGTATTTAAAAAAAAAAAAATAATAATAATAAGCTCTAACAATTCATACAGACAAGCGAATAGATTATTGCAAACTTAACATATGAAAATTAAAACATTTGAACAATTATATAACATTATATAACTAAATGAAGAGCACATTTAATCAATAATATAAATAACATAATACTCGTTAACACTATACTTGAATATAGTAACATAAAAAAAATAATAAATAAAATAGACACAATAAAAATAAAATAACAATAAATAGAAAATGAGACTTTAAAAATGATCTATTAACACTTAGGTATAAAATATAAGAAATCACAATGGCAAGAAATGTCTTCACTAAATTATAAAATAATTAGTACTAAAAATATTGCCGATGGCACGAATTGCATGTCTGCTGATCGCATTATACAGAAAAATCCCTGTATTCCAAATTTATTACAAGAACCTCATATTATTATTATATTAACATAAGAACCTAATTTCTAAATATCAAACAATAATATCTAGCATAATTCATTTCTTCTTATTGTTAAATTATGGCCACAATGAAAATTCAAATTTTGAAGATTCGTTACCAATAAATCAAGCGCTCAATCTTTGCATATGAAAATTTAAAAAAAAATCATTTAATTTTCATAAGCGCGGAATGGAAAAATGTAATCGCACCCGTTGAAATACGTGACTTGCCAGGAAAGCACGAGTTACAAGAAAGTCAAAAATGAAAAACAGAAATTAAGAACAAATATTAGTATTACTTAATTTAATCTGATTGCCACATCGATCAAAACATACTATATAAAAAGTCTTGGTCAAGATTAGACCTAGAATACACATTAAAAAATCAATATCATCGATGGAAGCAATATGAACTGTAACATTATTTCGGGTTTATTTTTAACTTGTCTTAGTTATTTGTAGTGCTTTCTGATGATTTAATAAAATAAGAGTTTTTAATGATATAATAAGAATAAATTATATTGTCAACATGTTAATTATTTAAATACAATTTCTTAATTTTTGAAAAGTACACATTTTGTATTTTAAATTTATTTTTTAAATATTTAACCTTCCAAATCAGTGTTTTTTTTTTTATATAAAAAATAATGCTTAAAAATGGATCAGCAGACAGAACAAAATGACAATCACCATCTCGTATTATTTAGTTGAGATCTATGTTTTTAGTTAGACGAAATTTAAAGACATAACTACTTAATAAATTCCCATAGGATGTATGTACAAGTTCCTACATATATTACCATCTAACTTAAACAATATGTCATTTTGAACAACTACACCCATGACATTACAATGCTAAGCATAATTCCTTAACCAGTGAGGTAGAAGAAAATACAAGTTTGTGTTAAATACAAAAGAAATATATAGAACTTTACTGAGATTAAGTATTATAAAAAAATTCAATTCATATGTTCATTATGAAATGTGTGCCATTCAAATGGGAAATAAATTAAAAGAAAAATTCAAAATAATTTTTAATAAATATTAAGGTGACTAAGGATTATTGTTACCCGACTTATTATTGACTAAAAATTGAACTTATTTATAACCTGATATGTATCAGGTACTAATTTTTTTTTTAGAATACCGTGCCAGGATTTTATTAACTTAGGAAGCCACCAGAGCTCTGAACAACAGACTGATCGGAAAATATAATTAATATATTTTTCCAATTGGATGGCTCCATTATTTGCCATCATATAGATTGTGCCTACATCTTGTGGGGAGAATATGTTACTTATTACATAATATACGGAAATAGAAATTGTTTAAATTAATACCCCCTAATTATAAAAATATGAAGTAAAAGAGTGATTGTCACAATCTAATTTTTATTGTCAGCACAATCAGGTACTATGAAGTTCGATATTATTATTAAATTATAAATAATAACAAAAAGAGATTACAAAAACTATAATATAGTGGATACAATAAATTGAATAATTATATTTTTTTAAATTAAAAGAGCAATTTTCAATACAGTAAACTTTTGATTAACCGTCGCAACAAACCAAACTTGTGATGCAAGTATTCCAAAAAAAAATATATAAGATATTTTATTAGATAAAAATAATTTGAGAAAGTATAATTTCTTTTTAGATACGATTATAGATACTTAAGCTGACTGTATTCATAATAAGCTCAGAATTATGGTTAAGGAACAAAGATGAGAAAAAAGGTTATCTAAAAAAATGCATTAACCAATTTAGAAGAACGTAAAAGTAATCTGAAGTCACAACTAGGTTTTGGAGACAGGGTAGACAAGCGAGCTAACACATGTGCAAAACATGTGTTACCCAGCAACCCGATGATTTATAAACAGAAGTTAACAAGATATACAATAATTATGTATGTATTCCCGGTGCTTGAGGGAAGGAGGGGAAGATTATTAACTCTGGCATTAATCTCCCCCCTCTCCTCTGGCCTGGGAAAATCACCGTAGAGCCTAAGATGAGGTAGGAGTGGACAAAAAAAAAATGTTACTACCAGGCAAAGGAGGCCAACAACAGAAAATAATGAAACCACATAGTAACCTTAACCTCGAGTCTACCAATGCTGGTTCGAATCCGGCCTAGGCAGATTGAAATTTATTTTCTGGCAATACCACGGCACGAATCGACATTCCCACACTGGTTAGAATAGATTGTATACCTTATTATTTATTTATTGGGTTGGTTACCTGTAGGATAATATCTACAGTCTTGAATATATTTAAAATTTATATTATTAAACCTTAAAAAATTAATAAAAATAGTCAATTCTACTCCACAGGTTAAGGATTTAAAATTAAAATAATAATAATAATTTAAAGATATATCTTTCATACTATCTTAATAATAAAACAAGAAAATGGTAACTCAAAAAAATAAAATAAAATAATAATGATAATATATCAAAAATAGTAGATTTGTACTAAGCATACTATCATATGTATAAATAATTGAGGAGCATTTTAACAAAAATTAATACATCCACTTATCATAAAAAATGATTTCTTGATAGATTTTTCTAAAAATTATTTAATTTCTTTCAATACTTGAATTTTCTCTTTACCATAATAATATTTAAAAATCAATAAATATTTAGCTTACATAAGATATCCCACAATATATAATATTTTTTAAAAAAAAATTTCTGAAAGTGAATGTATATGTTGACTTTTGGTCGCTCCTCAATTTCTTCAAATAAAATATTCAAAACAAAACGAATATAAAACAATTCAAATAATAATAATTTGTTCTTTGTATATATACTAGAAAAAATTGTAATAAAATTTAATTAAATAATTTTAGAACAATTTAAGACTTTGGTAATTAATTTTTCTTCAATGCTCTCCTTAAAATTCTTCTTCAATTTGTCAGTTATACTTAGTTGGCACAATTTATGTTTTAGAAATTACTATTTAAAAATGCAATTCCCAACTTACGAAGCCAAGGAAAATATTTCTGTAATATTAATGAGTGATTTAAATTTTTAGAAAATAATGACAAATGATAATTTTAAATCACATAAAAAATTAAAATCATCAAATTTTAATAACGAAAAATCTATATGCATTATTCATATAAGTTTGTGTAATTTATACTTATATACTTATAGTCCTTTTAGTTGTCTACACAACAGTAGCATAATAAAAATAAAATAAATATATATATATATTACATAAAACAAGCAAAAAATTATAAAAAATTCAATCTTGCCAACTAAGATGGTGGATCAAAAGAAAGATCATAAAAAATAACAACAAAATTCATATCCTATAAAGGATGAGTGATAATTTTTTCAATCTGATTAAAAATAAAACAAACAAAAAGTCAAAGTAACTTCAAGCTACAGACCTGAATAAAAACAAGTCTTGAAAACATGGTTGTCGAACCATTTTAAACATAACCTGCGAAAACACATTGATCACTCGTAATATCCTTCTTATAGTGAATCAGCACTCATAGAATGTTTTCATTATTTCTGAATATCTTTTTGAAGACATTACGAGACTGATGAGATTGGATTATGGGGAGAGCCCATCTGGGTCAACACTTTGTCTAACCACTGGAGGGGGCCGTGAAGATGTATTTCTATCCAGCAGGGAGTAGATGTGACGTCCTGCCGATGATATTCTGCTCCCCATCCTTTTACAAAGGACATTCTGAAGAAAAAAAGAAGTTTTTTTTATTCTATTGAAATGACTGAAATAAAAAAAATTATTATACAGAAACAATTAAGCACATTATCAAATATATACGATAAAAAATTCTAAATTAAAACTATGTATTAATAGTATTCAATTCATTGTTTTATGTAATATCGTGGGGCCATTTTCTCAATAGATAATAAGAAGATAAAAAAATAATCAAGCCATAATAGCAAAATATCCATATTGAAGGAAGTTAGTCGACTGTTTTACATATCATGGGTGATAAATATTCAGGAGGCAATGTTTAAAAAAAAATTAAAACATTTTTTTAAAAGACTTTGTCCTGAATATTTATCACCCATGACAAAATATTCACAAAATTATTTTAGAAAAAAATATAGGAACATATTCTTTTTTTACGAATCTCAAGAAAAAGAGAATGCATGAATATTTTTTATTATAGTTTACAAATTTTCAACTTGAGCAATGGAAATTTTGTTTTCAACATGAAGACACCACAACTATAAAACTAAATACAAAAAACAAATAAAGAAGTGGATATGTTTGAACATGTAGAAAAGTTTAAGTATTTACGGTCGGCAATAATTAGAAAAAAAACTATACTGGAAAGGGTGGAAAAGATTATTATTTTTCAGTTGCAATTACTTAGCTCGAGCTCTCAACTCCAAAATTTAAATATTAGAATTTACAAAACTATTGTACTTCCTAGTTTTTTTACAGAACTGTGTGAACTTTTTTTCTGGTTAACTCCTATCTTGCCTCTTGGCAACAGCCACTTCTCTGTATTGTACTTACTAATGAAGAATTGATTATAACTACAATAGCCCTTCGAACATTCGAACTCCAACTGACAAATGTACTTAAACTACTTTCAAAATAAACAGCTTATATATTGAAATATCTCGAACTTTGTGATTTTTTTTTCTTCCTTTGAACTCATTTATACTGAATTGAACTTATTCATACTGAAGCCCAAGATTAACATATATGGTTATAGAGGATTCCTTACGATTCTAAAACAATAGCTTCTGTCATCGTCAGCATGTGCTCCCTTCCAACATCGAGTCTTGGCAAGAAATAATTTGTAGTAAGAGGGATTGTTCCCTTACTTCCGAACCATAGTCCCTTAACTCAGAATTTTCTCTCAGGTATACATTTCATATAAATTTTCTCTTACACTGCCTGTACTTATACTTGAAGTCTTGATCCTGGCCTTTCTTTTCAAACTTGATCCTATATAGCCTCCTTTTCCGTTGTATTGAATGCTAAAATGTCAACGAACCTTGTTGAGCCTTTTGTATCTAGGCAATAAACTTTGAGGTAACATCGGGCAGGCATGTGACAAGGAGTATGCTGTTCGGACGATTTCTTTATCTTTATTTTTTTTCTCACTATCCGTTTTTCAATGTAAGTTAAATAAAATGTTTATTTATTCATTTTTTTGTAAAAGTTAAAGGGACAATTGTTAATATAATGTGTCTCAGTGTATATTATTTAAATATTGGGTTTATTTTTCGATGTATTATCACATTTGTATACACACCAGTCTGGCAGTAATACCCTGTCTTCGAGATTAAGACATCAAAATACTGACGGAGGGCAGTCTTGAGCAAGCGTTCAGAGACTCAGGGTCTGTGTATGAGCTCTTAAGAAATCACCCACCCCGCCAGCTGCTTCTGTGTCGTCTCATCTGGCGCCATTTTCTGAGGGTCAGCATTCGGCAGTCAGCTGTATTGATTGATCGATACCGATAACTCATCGATATCAACCACCACGGACCGTTGAACAGCCAGATAACCTCCTTGGGAGTACCTAGCACTTGTAATTTTTTTTCATCTCTCCGTCGTTATAAAGACAATGAACATTAACGTAACTTGGTCATTGTTCTAATTAATTAAATCTGTTGGACACTCGATTGAATTTTAGATTATATTTTTTTCTCTTTTTTTACTCTGATTTAGAAGTTATTTTTGTTTATATTTTAATGGACAATTTTTTTATTATTTTTTTTCAATAGGGTATTGTATTTCTTCTCATAAATTTATAACAAGGTTTATTTAAATTTTGTATATATTTTGATTTCTTTTTATTCAATAAATATTGTGAACATTTAGAAGGAGATTTTAAATTTGTTTATCTAAACATCTTATATTAATTGAGTAATTTTATTTGATATTGTTTGTGCATGTGTTTTTTGTTTGATGTTACAGGTCTCATATTTACTATTCTTTTCCCAACATTTTTAATTTTTACTCTAATTTTCTCCACCTTTGAGGGAACTCACCAGGGAAAGATTTGTACTTTGATTTTGAAGTACTCCTGACCCCAACACTAATTAAAATTTTAAATAAAAAATAACTAGTTAGTATAGTTCGAACATGGTTAGTTGCCCGCCCTAGGGGCAAATGAAACATACATTGTTTTATCCCCATGGTAACACTGTATATATGTAACCTTCTTTAAGTAGATTATTAGATCTTCTTATGCTAACCACTTAAATGGTCTTTCTATTAAAAAGGTGTTTTCCATTATAAGAAAATCCATGTTAATCCTTAAACCTCCAATATAACAAAATATACACAAGTATTGAAAGATAATATCATAACCTTCTAATTTAGATATTATATTATGTAATGATGTATATTATATGAGTTCGTTTTTGGGGCTGGCAACTAATCGAGGTCGAGCTACAGCTAAGCTCATAAACCTAAGTTATAAATACCTAATTGTGCACATCTTAGTCAATTCGTAGACGGCCTCAAAGCCATGGTTGACACTCTGGGAAAGTAACTGAGCAAATTCTTGATTATTAAAGATTTTCAGCGAACAACCCGACGGTATCTTGCACACTGTCGATGGGTGAAAATTGTGATGATGGTTGCAATTTCTTGATTGGACGAAAATAGCTGAATCCGATAGACACTCAGCATACACCTCTCCGCCAACATAATACAAGTGGACACCTGAAACAATTTTGGGATTGTTACTCACATTATGAAATATAAAAAAATATATTTTCAATGAATTATTATTATTAAAATTTGATGTACTTCTGCCTCATTTTCCTGTCTTACCTAAACAAAATTTAATACAGATTTTGATAACCCTAACAAATAGATTGTATGGCATTATCAACGGTTAAATTTAAAACGATGAAATAATTGTTGAAGATAACAAAAACATATTTACACTGAAGGGCTAAAATTCCACCCACTTGTTACCCATTAAGGAACCACGTTGGAAAGGTTGGCTCTGGAAAAAATTACAGGCTGCATATCTTTCGTTTCTTCTTCTCCACACCCTTTCACGCCCGTTTGGAGATCGAAGAGCGAATGTTGACTCATCTGTAAAAAGTACAGCACTCCATTCATCCATAATCTAATGGCTGTGTTCTCGAGCAAAAGCCAGCCGTGTTACTCTGTGAGTTCTGGTCCTCTTAGTGGACGAAAGGCTATTAATCCATACTCATTTAATCTTCTCCGAGCGGTACGTTCAGAAATTTGCACACCTCGAACTTCTTTGAGCTGATGAATCGCTTGAACAACGGTAAGGTGTCGGTTTCGTAAAATTCTCAAAGTCAAAAACCGGTCATCCCGTGGTTCTATTATCCTAGGCCGTCCAGAACCGGTCCTTCTATTGTAAGAACCAGTTCCCCGAAAACGCCTGACGGCGTCTCGTAAAGTTTCATATGGAACTCCGATAGCATTAGCTGCATATCTAATGGAACGTCCATCATCAATGAGTGCCACACCATGCGCAACATCCTCAGCACTAAGAGGCATTTTTAAACTTAATATTGAAAAAATTAAAAGCTGGAGACTAAGAAAGGTGCTGCAAGAAACGGCACTGAACTAATGATACTGAATAAACATTTTGATTCCATAGAAAGTAAACATTGGAATCTAGAATCATTTCATTGAATTGAGGATTAAGGGTTATTGTCCTCTATATTAACATTCCTAATTGAAAACAAACAAAAAGATTACCTATTTATTCATTAAAACCAATAGACCAATCCAAAGCAAAAATATTTTTAAATGAAAACATGAAAAAATCAAGTGGGTGGAATTTTTGCCTGTCAGTGTATTATCAGTCTAACGTAAACACATTGCAAACTAAAACAAAAATATTATTTTTGAAAATTATCAATGTTTGTTGAGTCTGATTTTGTTCCTAAAGAAAATGCCTGATCCCACAAATTCCTTAAAATTAACAGGCTTTTGTAGTCCGACGTATCCATTAGTTCATGCCAAGCAAGTATTTGCTATGATTTGTCGATAATGAAAAATAAAATGGGCGCAAAGAAATTTTCCAGTTAATTAAAAACCGTATTCATGATATTAAGATCTGGATTGCCATTCTTCTTAAAAAAAATGACTAAAGAAAAACTGAGCTTTCAGCTAACAGAAACCGGACGTCCTTGAGATCTCTGCTGCATAATCCACAGGTAAAGAGCTACCTCAACTTCTGGATGAGCAACTAGTTTTAATGTTTTCCATTTAGAGACGCTATGTATTATATTGATTTGGAAACAACCACACGAAGCAATTCCAGTATAATGTATAATGAGAAACAGAGCCATTTCCATTCCAGCTCTTGTTAGTCAACTTTAACTTTTTTTCTTTCTTATGAATTATTATGGGTTCGAATTATCGAGACCATCCTGTGATATGGTCTATACATGTCTATGATCCGTATCTTCAGAATCCATCAGTCTGGTGGCCTTCCAGAGAGGAGTTCTCTTTCTAGATTAAAATGTGCCAGGCCCAATGTAGTTCTTCACCAGTACACAAAATCTTTGTAATATGGGTAGTTCTGCTCTGTCACTAACTGCATCAAATGCGATACAGCTGACGTGGACATGCTGAGCTGACTCCGGTATTCTATATCTAGGGAATATGAGAGGAGATCTATGTCTTTTCCAATGCTGTCCAACTTAGTACAGAAACCCTCATATCTTTTCAAAACGCCATAAGTTGAGGTTGTCACCCACTGCCAGTTCCCTTCCTAAATAATATCCTTCCAGCAATTTTTACTAGGATAATTTTTAGAAAATCTGTCGAGTCTTCTCTTTTAAACATTATTTTCAATCAATCCTCTCGCAAAAAAAGGTTGAGAGGCATAAATAATTGTGTTAGGTTAGAGATATATATATATATATATATATATATATATATATATATATATATATATATATATATATCAGTACTGACAGGAAGTACAGATGGTGGGGGAAGCAAGCCCCAGATGTAGAGAGAAGGTAGCCAGCCGGCTAGGAACCAGGATTGGTGAGATGTTGGTTCCAAGTAGTGAGTGTCAACGGTAGAAGGTTGTGGAAGTGAATGCACCAGTACAGAAGAGAAGTAGCTGCATCAGTTCTATAGAAATGGACAGATCGAACGCACACCGAGATTGGACCCCGACAAACAGAATGGAAATTTATTAATAAGTGTTATAAAATTATGTATGCTTTTTTATTGTATAATTGAGGATGTGTGTTAGTTGTCTAAACCCAACCTGGGAATTAATTATTGTGTGAAAAATAAATATATTGAATAAGAAACTGGTTGTTTACTTTTGAAGGGAACGAGAACATTACAATATATTGTAAGGTTATGTTTCCTTTCAAAAGTAAACAAAACAGTTTCTGAATCAAATTATATTTATTTTAAACAATACTTATTTCTCAGATTGGGTTGAGACAACTAACACACATTCCTCAATTATACGTTATAAAAGCATACTACATTAATTTTATGTAACATTTATGAATTTCCATTGTTTGTCGGGGTCTACTCTTGGCACGCTTTCGAACTGTCACTATTTATATTTCACTCGCCCTGTTCTGCAGCGAATCTTCTTCTATATTGTTGTCTTCTACTTCTACAATCTTCTATTCTTCCTTTGTTGGAACTCACTACTTGTTAGTCACATTTTCTTCTCTCGATCCTCTTTACTAGCCGGCTACCTTCTCTCTTAACATCTGGGGCACTTGCTTTCCCTTCCATCTGTTTTTGTCCATTTTTAACAGTAGTTCGTATCGCCACTGCCTTCGTGCCCCTATTTAAAATCACTAAGAAATATTAACATTACGACATATATATATATATATATATATATATATATATATATATATATATATATATATATATATATATATAACAACTCTTGCTAAGACATCATCAGAGATAATTCAGTAAGACTTAAAGACTTGTAACAAAGCTGTCCACTGAATAAGGTTCTGGGACCACACAGAAGATGCATATCTCAGAATATCCATTTTTCCCTGCTTTATAAAGGGTCATTGTTACTGATTATCTGAGGCTTCAAAATGTGTTCCCCCTTAGACAACAAAGGCTATTCAAGGCTAGTATTAACCTATTTTTCAAATAATCCAAATAAGTGGTCATATTTAATCATTTTCTAAACTTCAAGCGAAAGAAGGTGGGCACCTCACTTGAATGTATTCTTGTTCCTTCTATTCTGAGATTGATAGGGTATACACAATCCTTTTTTTTCGTCAGCAGGATTACTCCATTCTTTGCTGCGGCCATTTGCAGCTTCATTCTTTCATACTATTGTCCTTCCAGGTTCGTGCTCTTTCTTTTCCTCCTTCTTCCTTTATTCTGGTTCTGCTATCAGACACCACCAAAGCTTCTAAGTTGTCGACAAAGGATGTCAGGGGGAAGAGTTCTTCTTCAAGCACAAATATTAGTGTCCTTGTTTCAAAAATATTTAATATTGATAAGTGATTCTGGTCACAAAAATATTTTTGATGAATACCCTACCAAAATTTGATAAAACCATTAGGTATGAATTGAATTTCAAAAATAAAGACTGCATATAAGCTGAAATACCGCAGATCGATTATTATAAATAAAATATTTATTATTAGACAATTGATCCTTGAATTTAATTATTAAAATAATTTTTTTAATTTTTTAAAGAAATATTAGAAAATGCAAAACTAGAATATTAAATTTATTATATAAGTTCATTTAAACACTAAATAAAATTGTATAAACCTTTTCCAATATGTCGCCTCGTATTTTCTATTGTTGAATTACGATTGACGTTTGACAACTGCCCGAGACAAAACCTGTTCATATTTGAACTTGGGTTTGTAAAACCGTCGACAATGACAGAGTGAGCTTGACAGTGGAACACCTCGCCGACCCTACAGTTCAACTCATAGTAAGCTATACTCGCCCAGTATGGAGGCTCCTGAAAAGAAAATTATTTTCATTAAAAAAAATAAACTGGTAAAGATTACTAATTTTTTATTAGAAATTTTGAATTAATCATTGTTATGAGTACTTTACCATAATAGGAAATCAAAACACTACAAAAAATGCTGCAAATTATTTCATAATGGTATATTATTTCCAAACTATTACACATCTAAAGTAACATTACCTTCCTAGTTACAAAGAAAAATAAATAAAAGGTGATTCAAATTATTGGACTAAACTTTGGTTTTTAATCATTAATAATATGCTAAAAAAGAAATAGCAGTACATCAGTAACCCATTCAAAATTTAAAAACCAAAATAGAGGATATAACATTTGCAGTAGAACATATAAAAAAACTAGAGACCATATCTTTGCTCCTAATTGTCCGATTTTAACGAATTTTTTTTTAAAGGAAATTCCATAAAATTTTAAAAAATCATATACAATACCGAAAAAAAAAGTGTATACTTTTTGAGTTATTCGGAATTTAATTTTACCATCTTCAAATTTTTAATTTTTCGGTCGATCACAATGGTTCATTATTGAAAATAATAAACCAAAAATATTTAAAAATCGCGATATCTCTACTGATATTGTTTTGATTTCGATGAAACTTCCTTCATTTTTTAGGAAATTTAAATACCTTTGAAACAGCTTATCACAATATCGACAAAAAAGTGTATACTTCTTGAGTTATTCGGAATTTAATTTTACCATCCCTGGTAACTTTTTTTCCAGCTTCTTTTCGTTGAAGTATGTTATATAGATAAATTTGAAGGGCATCGTGAAAATTACTTTAGCGAAGTTTCATTGAAATTGGTACATTTATTTAGGCGCAACAGTCTATAAAATGCAGGTTTTCCGGCTGCCATTTTGAAAGTAAAAGGTGGATAGTAATGTCGATGAAGGAGGATCATCCTCGGGTGACCTCTGATTTTATATCCAAATTTACGTCCAAAAAGTCCACATTTGATTATAATGCAGAAATCACCAAATGTGTAGAAAGACTGGATGTTAATCAGGGCCATCAAAGTGAGAGAGCTCTACGAAAGTCCTTAATCAGACTGGTGAAGTAGAAAGAGAAAAGAAGAATATATAAGATAAATGTATCCCTTGCCTAAAAGAGAAATTCCAGGAAACTTTGGGAGAGAGAGAGAGTTCACCATGAGAGGCCTCTAGATGGAGTGAGTCTCATGGAATGATTCCAAAAAGAAACCTAGTTTCTTGAGGAACTAGGTGTTGACGAAAGAGAGCTTACAATATTAGCATTATTCTGAACTCCATAGGGATTATTCACTATCACTTATGTAGTAATTGAAAGTTAATTGAGTATATTTATTATCATTTAATTATTTAATCAATTTTAATGTTTAGTCTAGTCATAACGTTTTATTTATGTTCAATAAATCATATTGGTGGATATATGAGCGTTTTCATCTTCTCCTTTTCATAACACTAATCATATAAAATAGATATATATACTGGTGGTCATAAAAACTGGTACACTTTAAATATAGTCATTATTTCTTTCCCTAGAGAAAAAATATTGCAATTTTTTTTATCTCAATAAAGTGTGACATAGACTTTCTTGTAGAAGAGCACAAATAAAGGAAAAAACAATAAAAATAAAGCAAATGAACACTATTATAATTAAAAATAAAATGCATCTAATTCTTTTTTAACTATGAAATCTGAGTCTCTAGTATCGCCTCCCTTTTATTGAATAACAGCCTGTACTCCTGTAGGCATACAAATAAGATGGTTACCCAATCTTGAATCTGATCCATTTAATAATGCTCACGGATCAAGTGTTCTGTTGTTGACGGATAGAATTGAAGACCGGCAGTGAGCTAACCACTCTAAGATATGGACAATAACCTCGTCTAGGTAGTTCCGTACAACCTTTTCGATATTCGGCTGAGCATTATCCTGCATAAAAAGGAAATGGAGAGCACTTAACAGGCCATAAGGTACCACATATACCTCGAGGATATCAGTGCTATGCGTGTGCGCATTGAACATCGGCCTTTGGAACAAATGGAGATCTGTACTTGCCTCAAGCGGGAGCCCTAGCAGGTTTCAGTAAGCCTTCTCCTCACTGTGTGTGAGCTGACATCTGCACCCCGAGCAATACTCATTCGATGAAAAATATGAACTGAAGTCTGGTAGAGGTTTCTGAAAGTCTGCACAGCTGGACTTCTCGCTCTTGGATGGCCTGATCATGCCACTTAGTGTAGCTTCCTGTCTCCCAGTACCTCTGAACTGCCAACCAAACTGTTGTTTCAGGCAGCCTGTGGACTCGGCTGAGTATCGCTGACTTTGGTGGTTTAAATTAACGCAGTAATCTGAGCGACTGCCACGGGGTTCAAAACCGCTTTACACTCTTACAAATGTTTAATACAAATGAAATATTGTTTTTTAATAAAATAAAAATAAAAAAGCAAAACCAATGCGATTGAACAGACAACTGGAGAAAAACTGATATGAAGTCTACCTTTTATTTTAATACATTTATCATTAATCCTAGAGAGAACCATGAGATTTTCTTAAAAGGATTAATGCATGGTAATCCCCTTTAACCTGTCATTACTTCAGGCTCAAAAATATTTGTTTAATCTTCGGTTTTTAAAATTCAAGGTGCACCAGTTTTTTTTACCTCCAGTTTATAATGTTATAGTGGTAGTTTAATGTAGTATATTAATGATATTTTATATGATTATTGTTATGAAAAAGGAGGAAAAAAAAAAATATATATAATAATAAAATAATGTAATTGCTATGCCCAAAGTTTTGATCAGTATGCTATATATAAAGCAACCCTGTGTAGTAGGGTAGCACTACTTAGAATAAAGTATTTTTCTCTCTCTCTCTCTCTCTCTCTCTCTCTCTCTCTCTATATATATATATATATATATATATATATATATTCTAAAAAGATAAAAAAACAATTATTTTTTTTTAAGCTTGAAATATGAGGTGAATGAAATAATTGCTTCTAGCAAATTCTTTTTATAATAAGAACAAAATCACAATTGTATTAATAAGAAAAACTGTTTTAAAATTTTGCAGCTCAGACAGACCTGGTAGGAAACTGGTGCCACTTCAGTCATGGACGTAGTATCCATGGGGATGGGAACGGCATCACCAGCTGGCGAAGACTGGCTCTCCTCGGCACCAGAACTGGTAAAACTAGGAGCAGCCGAGTCATCTATAAAGAAAGCAGGATAAGAATCCCAACAAACTAAAACATTAATATAATACAATTATAAACAAGATATTACTTTAATACAAATACTTTGAAAATAAAATACAAATATAAATAGAGCAATATTTCAGGCTGGAAGAAATTTAAAATGCTACATTAATAATGATATAAATGAAGGGTTCTGCTGAATAATAGTCTACATAAAATTCTAGCAAAATAGAATTAGAATAATATTCTAAGAAGCTTCCATTAAGCCTTAGAATACAACACAGAACAACAGCGCTCCAAGAGTGTAACAAGTATATGTGTTTCTGTGTTCCAAGTATGTAACAGTTCGCCAACATACTAAAACATTGAGATGGCTGTTGGTTTTTACGTGAACTCTAACGGAAACGGAACAAGTTAGGAGAGAGGGGAAGCAAATTTTTTAGGATAGCCTACAGACAATGTGACAATTCAGTGCCCACCTTAGTACTAGTACTTGAGATCTCAGATCATATAATAAGTCATTTTTGCTCTGTCTTCATAAATCACCAGTGTAACATTGTGCAATGGAGTGAACACTTGAAAACTGTCTTCTGCTTATCAAATACGTCAACAACATTTATTGTTCATAAATTAATAACATCAATAAATTATTGTTTTATTATATTATATTAACAAATATTTCTTAATAATAATAAGGCTTAGAGAACCTGAAGGTTCGATGCCGATACCAACAATTGATGTCCACTCTTCGATCGACTGGGCGCTGTCTAACCCCAACCCTGCCAGATCAGCCTTAACACAATCTTCCCACCTTCGCTTTGGTCTACCTACTGGACGCTTGCCAGTCGCCACATAGCAAATTAACTTTTTAGAAATGATTTCGTTACTAAGCCGCATGATTTTACATGCCCATTTTATTCGTCTCAAATTAATCATCTTTTTCAGTTTGTGCCATGAATCCCCTAAAGCAGTCCCCACCCGAATACCTGAACGGGAGTCTAGTTTGCTTCTGGATAAAGAGTTTTACTTTATGAGTATCCATGACTGTTTGGTATTTTGTGAACTGTAGATATGTGAGTGGGGCGATCAATCCTATGTCACATCCTCCAGCAAGTCTGGAAGGCCCCTCTCATTCTTATATTTCTGAATAAATAATAATAATTAATTGTATTAATAATTTTAAAAAAACTTTTATTATATCAATAAATTATCCTTTTATTTGAATAAATGGTGCTACCAGGTTTAAAAGATTTTTAAAACTTGTGAAAGACAGCAAAATATTTCAGTAGCGCCCACTTAGTACTTGGGATCTCAGATCCAATAAGTCCTTTTTTGCTCTGTATTCATAAAATTGTGGTGGTCAAAAACGAGGAGATCTTCTATAATCATTTACCAAATAATGGATGAAAATGTAGGCAGTACTTGCTACTAGCTCGGACATGTTCCCTCAACGAACATGTGAATAGTGCAGAGTACATATGGAGTGGCTATGTTCACAAGCCCATACCTACATCAACTGAATTACAGGAATGAGGAGAGCCGGTGGTTCACGAACATAGTGGATACCGGGCTTTATACATTCTTAACTTAGTAAAAAAAAACATTGTCTAATGATATTGATGGAATAATAATCACATTTAGTTAATATAAAAGGAAGAGATTACTTTAAGTAGATTGTAACACTAATTGTTAAGTTAATTTAACTTTTGATGTAGAGATGGTTGACCGTTGATATAATATGAGAAACAGTTAATCGGGAGGTGCGGTCAAATAAATACTAAATTAAAATATAGTAATTATTTAATTTTTGCCGACGTTTTGATCCACTTTGCAGGTCGTCTTATATTCTATTCGTCGTATTATATTCCATCTGACGGATAATATTCCATAAGACGTTACTATATTTTAATTCAGTATTTATTTGACCGCACCCCCCAAATTAACTCCTTCTCATAATTTAACTTTTATTAATTACTTGTAAATTAAAAAAAAAAATACATAGTTATTCAGCCGAACCCTTCAAATGACAATTTTCGATGTTAGCAATAAAGCAATTAATTACCAGTTAGTCCATTGGGTGAATAAGGACTATGAGGTGACGGAGCTGAAGGGCTGGAAACACTACTGATGGGCGAAGAAGGCCCTCCACTGAAACCAGTACCGCTATAGCTGACGTTATGTGGCATCGCAGGCTCGGCGACTTGTTGAAATGGCAATAATGAGTGCCCAGGAGCAAACTCGGAATGTCGTGGAACAAGAACTGGAGGCAGTACTGTCAACAGAAATAAATAATTTACATTTTTAATGGAGTCAGGTACTGATTGTTTTAGTCTTTTATGAATGGAAAGATAAATTAAAATGTTCATCGAACAAAGAGAAGATTGCAATACTATCTATAATGTTATAGATTTATTAATTAATACTATATATGTATTGTGTAGCAATCATATAATCATAATAATTGGTAAGAGATAGTACATGCATTTCCTACTATCGACGTAGGAATTTCAATACATACATTTTTTTTTATTTTTACATTGTTACATTTTTTTTTTTTTTTTTTTTTTTTTTTTTTTTTTTTTTTTTTTATGAAATGAACTCATTGTATCTCTTTTTCGTTCTTCATTTCTCAAAGTGTATGTTTATGTTGTTCAACTCTTATACATAATTTTGTTCATAGTTTTAATTGTTTTGTTCATAGTTTTAAATGATCTGTACATAGTTTTATCTGTATTGTATATAGCTTGTGCACCTAAGGTTTTCTTTACTTTTTATTTTATTTTATCAATTTTATTTATTGTTTCAAACATTTAGGCCAGTAATATTCTATTCTTTTGTACAATATTGTTACTCTAAAGGGACTTAGTCCCAGAATAAATGTTTTTTTCTATCTATCTATCTAATGTTAAACTTATATTTAAATCAACATATTTCATTTATTTATGTTAAAGTGTGCTACAATATTAAGTAGTAAATACAGACATGGAGAAATATTTTTCTTCCACTCTTAGTGCCTTTTAGCATGCATTAAGCAAGAATTGTCAATCCTCTCAATTAACAGTGAGCTTCTATACAAAATTTTATCCCTGGCATTCTATTTGAACGTCATTCTTGGATGACTCCTTGGCCTTCTGCCAGATGGATAATATTCCATCATCTTGATTAGGTCCCCGTGTTTTACCATTACACAATTATGTCCGAACTATTTCAACTGTTTCTTTTCTATTGTTTCCATGCTAAAGAACATCTTGAGCTTCCCTCTGATTCATTTATTTCTTTTGAGACTCCTTCTCATATTCCCAATCATCATTCATAGATACTTCATTTCCGCTAAGGTGAATCAGCTCCAAACTTTGTCAGTTAACACCCAGCTCTTAACACCAAACAGGAGAATAGGAAAGTGTAAACTGTCATGAAAATTAACAATTTTAAATGCAGCCGAACTTCTCTCTTTCTTCCCACTATTTTTCAAATTAGGCACTCAACATCATTTAAATTTCAATACTGTTTGAAATTTTGGCGTCCACTTTCCCAGAATTATTGATCTTAAGTAAATATAGTCTGACACAACTTCCATCTCTTCACCACCAAAGGAAATATGGATTTTCACATGGGTTCTACATTTTAATTTTTGCTATATTAACTTCACAAAACTGTTCGTACCATTCTGTAACCAGTTGTAATGTTAGGTGAGAGTCGAAAATCAAAACTATGTCATCTACATAAAAAAGTGTTGAGCATCAGAGTTTCATGTTCGAGAGATGTTCTCCGGATCCGTTAAATATAAAATCATGGAGCTACTGTTGACAAAAGAGCTATTTGCAGAAAAAGTTTGTTCGAAGGTGCAATCAGTAAAGAAAAATGTTCAAATAAGTTTATTTATTTCTTCTAAAGTTAAATAAAAACTCATAAGTTAAACATTCTATAAAAAAAAAAAAAAAAACTGATGAAAAAGTTGGTTTTTGTTTTGGTAATAAGTAAAAGACAAAGAATAGCTAAATATTTGTTGTACTTTATTTTCAAAAACTCTTAACAAAAGTTTATTGTAAGATTAATAATCTAAATATGGCACCTTTAAGCCAAATTTATCTTTCCGCCTTTCTTTGTTTGATATGTTTAATTATAAATAAACATTTTTTTTACTATAAATTCTTTTTAAAAATTTATATTAATTGAATTTATTCAAATAGTTGAGCACTATATTTTCTCTATTACCATGCATTTATGAATCTAAATCAATGTATGTGGTTAAATGTTGAAATATAATATTTATGATCCAGTTTTCTAATTCACTAAATGATTTTTTTTTGTTTTAATATAGCAGTTATTTTACATTTGTTTTATTTTAATAAAAACATTATATCAATTACTTTATTTAATATTGGAACTGAATGAATACAATAATTTTACACTGAAAATGTAAAAAAAATATAATGAGTAAATTTGGTCAAATTTTCATGCATTTATGTATATTTTTTTTATTTATCTCTTTTGATTAGAAGATAAATTCGTGATTTTCTTAAAAAAAAATGAAACAGGTACTATCATATATTCCCATATTTAAGGAAGGGCCATTATTAAATATTTTTATTTGTATTAATGAAAAGTGAAGGAGACAAGATGGAGTGATTGGTATTTCTGTTACATGTCACGAATTGTGAGCTCATAGCTAAATTATGAAGTTGTTAGTTCGGTAATATGTCACTAGCTTCAAAAGTTCTATCTAAAAAATATCTTTCAGTTTTTAATATTTTATCTGCGAGTTAAAATATATAGTTCAAGACATATTTTATTAGCTTTTATATAAAAATAGATAAAACCTCACCAGGAGTTGTAAAGTACATGTTACACAAGGGTCCATATCTCCCACTTCTCCAATCTCTCCCTTCCCCATATCTCTCCAATTGATTGATATTTTGTGATCTCTGTTATTATATATATTTACATAAATAAAATTGTAATGCTTCTCAACTGTGTTGAGTTGTAAACTGATACAGCATACTAATTAATCAGGTAGACAATATCTAAAAAATCAGCTTGAAGCACTTCGTATATAAAAATGTCATTTGTTGTTCCTTTCTTTTCTCTCAATTCTGTCATGCGGATCCGTAAAGCAAAGCTCTGATTTAATAGAGGTGATTGTGCAGGATTTCCAATGAGTCCAAAATAATTATAAGCTACAGTGGACAAAAAGGTATTTGTACACCCTGTTTTTTGGCCGAAATGGTTCACTGTATTTTTTTTTTGTTTTGTGTCATTTTTATGTAGTGCTAAAAATTAAAATTTCATACTACTTTTATAACATTAATATTTCAATAATTTGTACACAAAAAAGTATTCGTACACTACAGCAAGTATTAATGATACAATAATTTTTGTTATCAAAACAGTGTTTTAACGTTTTATTAATAATCCTTTACCTCGGAAAATTAAATGATAAAACTGTACAAGAAATTGTTTGTTCAGTTCAGTTACTAAGGAATATTTCTTAGTATACACTGATTAAGATTCTTGTATGCATGATAATAGAGTTTGAAAATATAGTGCTCAAGAATCATTAAACATAGTCTACAATCTTTATTAGATAGCCAGGATTAAAACTAAGTGGACTTAGACTGTACAATATTATAAGTAACCATTTTTTATCAGTTAAATTGTAATTCAAAGTGTATTTCCTTCATTAATTTAATAAAAATATTAACAGATTATAAATGGTAAATTTATATATAGTGTTCAAGATAACTAACCAAATTAAACCAGTTTGTTATATTATTAATAACTTCTTAAAGAATTTGATATAAACTAAGTAACAGAATTGAGGATCCCATTTATATCTACATAGACTATGTTAATGAAAGAGAAGGTTTAAATCTGAACAAATCATGAAATCAATATTTTAATTATCTTCTTTTAGTGAAAGAAAAATAAAAAATCAGAATAAAGCTGTGATATATATTTAAAAGTAAAATTAATGCAGCAATTATGAAATATAAAATAGGTAAGAATAATAAAACATTTGGCAAAATAGGACTTGCTTTTATAAGTCTTTAAGCCGAAAAGATAAAAAAAAAAAGAAATAAAAATAATAAAACATATACAGTATTGTTATGATAAATAAAATGATTTTTAAACAGTATAATTTTCACAAAACTTCTGGAAAAGTTGACTACTGATAAACAATGTAGTACTAGTACAAACATTTTAACATTTATTGGCCTTTATCAGTGAAGTATGAATCACAGTCTTAATACTTCTTTTATCACGATGACAAATTGAAATACATGACTAACACACCATATACGTAGTAAGAATAAACAAAAGCAAGAAAAAAAAAAGAAGTTTACCTGGGCTCTCAACTCTTTTATAGTGATACGGATTAATGCAAACTTCTTTTTGCTTAGCTGAAAAAGGAAACTGGCAAAGTTCTATTGGCTTCAATTCATGATGGGATTGTAAATCTGGCCAACGCCATACACGGCAATAAATAACGTGCGGCAGTCCTTTTCTGTGAGATACCTGAAGAATCAGACAAGATAAATTTAGATTAATTTTAAAACCGAACACAAAAAAGTGTTAAGCTAAATAGGATATGAAAATTTTTGTTTAAATTAAATATATAAAACAGTCACTTTATATTTACCTGAAGACGCCCATCTAAGCTCCGAGGTATCGTAACACAGCTACTCGGCTGGCCAGGGCAACTTAACGCTCTTTCTAATTCTTCAATTGCACCTTTCTTTTTTTTCAGTTTTTTTACTAAAGCATCGACTGCCCTTTCAGCCCACTTTTCTTCTTCATCTCCTTGTTTCCACCCCAGTAGTTTCTTAACTGCCGGGCTTGTAAATGAAAATAGGCTATTAAATGAAGCCATCGCTCCACCGGAGCTTGAAGTATCATCAGTTTCCATTTCAGCAAATTCACTTAAAGCAATAGCATCCCCTGTAACCTCGGAAAACATATTAAATAGTAATTCTAAAAAGAAATCAACAGAAAATAAAACTTAAAAGAAACATAAATAAAATGAAAATGTTAGAAGCATTAGCATCAAGAATACCACCAAAACTTGACATAGACAGATCTCTTATATCATTTAGGTTATGTTGATACAATTTACAATTTTAAGAACCTAACTATACAATAATTAAACGAAAAAAATGACAACAAATAAAGTATAATCAGAATTATAACTATGTTTTGACAGTATCAATCATCAAGTGCTATAATGACTAATTGGGTACTGATATATTAACATAAAATCAATAAAGGGAAATTCCTAAAGCAAACTTACGAGATGAAATATGAGATCAATGTAAAGGCATCAATTACGATGCGCTAGATCGATATAAAAAGAGTTTCATGATAAAACTTTATTTACTAACATAACTACGGACAATCCACTAATAACTTGCAACAACCAGACTGAACCTAGCTTTCAACTCTTGATATACAATAGAACTATTACCTGCTAACCTGCTACTTCAAAAATCCCTACTTTAATTGAATACAAATCCGTAAATAACTAATTTTTATTTTTAATTATTAAAAAGTGCATTTAAATAATTTTACAGTTTAAAGAAATACATTTATATGCTTAAAAATTCTATTGATTACACACAAAATTCCCCCTATTCTTATAAACGTCAAATCATTTCTTTAAGACACATCTATTAATATTAGAAATTAATTGAATAATTTTGAATAAAATAATGATTTTCAATGTAAATCGTTACTCCTACTTGTTTTTTTTTAGAAATAGTATTTTCAATTTTTTCTAAAAATTAATATTCCATAATTATTATTACATATTATATTATTTTTAACAAATAAAAATAATGAACTTTTAGTTAAAGGTTTAATAATACTTCCCTATTTAATATAAACATGTTAAAATTCAATCGAAATAAGAGAATTTTTTTTGCGACGATTGGTAAACATGTCTATGAGCCATATTAATTCCCCTTTCTCTTCTAAAATTTGAATTGTACGGAAGTTAAATTAGGTATTTTGAAATTTCATTTACTTTATTTATTGTACTTAATGATAATATATAAAATTATGAAATATTATAATTTTATAAACTATTCATCTATCGGCAATTAATTGATTTCAGTATTTTCCTCACTTTTGAATTTTCTTTGCTAAATTCTAATGACCCTTACTTATAAATAACTGGTAGTTTAACTTCTATTGATATTGTTAAAATCTGAAAAAATTAAAATTATTTTCATAATAATATTATTTGAAAAAATAAGTTCTAAAGGTCTAGTTATTCAAGTACAATGTTAAACTTCATGAAAAAATAATTTCATACTAGTACAATACTCAGCTTATTGATGTATTTTACTGAAATGTATCTTTCAAAATTCAAATAAGCTCATTTGTTTTTCACATAACACATTTAGATAATTATACTTGAATTTTTGACCATTCACTTAATCTTTGAAATAATTATGATATTTTAAGAAGATTTCATGGAATTGTGATACAATAATACAACTATTTTGAATAATTTATGGCGTTTTCAACATTATTTAATTATCTATTCTGTAATTAATTTTAACAAACTAATTAAAATTTAAATAAATATAGTTTTCTTCACAGTTTAAATTTTATCTATTCTATTATAATTAATAACAATAAAACTTCCACCAGAATTTCTCAGTGTCTGGTTCGAAGGGATGTAGTTTGATATATTTAGTATCCCCGACAGTCTTACAAAATTGGTTTTGCCTTAGATGTTATAAGAAGTATTACGTAATTAATCAGAAACTTAATTTGGGTTTTCTAAGTAAAATCGCTCCTTCTTAGTTGAAGTAATTACTGTTATTGTACTCCGATGAAGAACTAACCACTGTTTTCTCTGCATAATCTGTTTGAAGTGTTTAGGTACTACACTCTCATGAAAAACCAGAAACAATAATTTATTAATTTATTAATAATTTACTTGTCGGTTGACTGTAGTATATTATTGAGTAAGAAGATAGTCTGGGGTGGCGATCATAAAAAGACTAAAGTAGTAAAAACTATTTTATTTAAAGCCAACGTTTCGACTCGACTTTGCAGGTCTTCTTCAGGGAGTTGTATGCAGTAGATAGTTTTGATTGAAACTGAAACTGAACTCAGCTTCAACCAAAACTCTATATTGCATACAACCCTCTGAAGAAGACTGAAGAAGAAAGTCGGGTCGAAATTTTGGCTTCAAATAAAATAGTTTTTTATTATTTTAGTCTTTTTATGACCGCCACCATCTTCTTACTCAACACTAATTTATTTTGTCATTTTAATAATATTTGTTGAATTTACTCCTAAATCTACCATTATAACAAATGTTCTTGATCTGTCATATGTAGACCCTCTGTGTGTCTATTTTTCCATTCCTGGAAACGTGTGAAACAATTATGACATTAACTTTACATCCACTAACTTTTTGTTTTGTTTTTCAAATAAAAAAATTAAGAAAACACCTACAAAGTCAAGACTTTTTGTATTTGTTGTTATTTAATTGGTTATTTAGCTAACTAAATAATAACTGTTAGCAAATTAATTCTTTTTATTCAATCATAAATCTAAATTCTAATTAAATAATGTTTTCATCTTTTAAGTCCATTTATTAGAGTAATCAACGATATATTTTTACCAATATTTATTTAAACCTAGTGTCTATGAGATTGTTTAGCTGAAAATTTAATTTCAACAATGATTTTAAATACTCAGGGATGGTATGGGATACACTACAAAAAAAAAAAAGTTCAAGAGGTAGTCTTTGCACTTCATTTACACCATCTACTTGTATATGCGATGGGAACTAATCCTGTATGTGAACATCCTGTCAGGCCTGTTTATCCCGATGGCTACTTTGAGGCTGCTAGGTCATGAACTAACAAGAGTGGAACTATGAAGATTCATTTCTCGGGGTCCCCACGAAATAAATATTGACTGATTGATGTGAGAATTAATACTGTTCCGAATTAGGTAGGCACTTAAGGAATGTATTGATTAAGACATGACATAACTTAAGTAATAGGTTTTCTTGTAATTCCATGTATTTTTAATTTATTAGTCTAAGGTTCTTCAACATCTTCAGGCAAAGAAGTTCTTTCTTTTTTTTTTCTTTTACAGTTACAAACTTATTTTCTGAAGGTTAAATTCTGTGGTAGAATTTTTAATAAAAAAAAAAAAATGTTAGTTTTTTAGTAAAATTGGTCTATTATTTGAATAACTCAAATGATACTTCATAGTGGTGAATGGATTCATTATAATTTTTTATCTTTATTTATTTTAGAATAATTGTGCTAGGTTCGAAAGAAGGGTGTTTTATAGTAATTAAGTTCTTGAATAATTGTTAATTTTTTATGATAGTAACTATTAGAGAATTAAATAATTATTATCTTTCCAGTGTTTCGTGAGTGCTTGTAATATTGTAAATGGTTTTTACGATTATGATACCGGTTGAAGAAATTACCAGTGGAGTTCTAAGCATGCAGAACACTTGGAAGATACTAGTAGTGCCAGAATCCATCAGCACTTACCAGGAATGTCACTTCACAAGAAATATCCTACAAATATTCAACAGGTAACGTAGTTAAAGCATATGCTTCAGTTTTAAATAATTTTATAACTGCCATATTTTAATCAGAATTTTTAAGTTTTTTATGTAGTGTAATAATTATTTATATCAGCTTAAATAATTAAAAAAGATGAAGTAACCTCTAAATTTATGAAAGTAATAAGTGATTTTTAAGAACTTTGGATGAGTGGATCTTAAGAATATTTTTTATTTATTAATTATTTTAGTTATCATTAAAATTAATCTATTGATCCAATGTATAGCACGTTTCTGTTGGTAACTGGTATAAATATTATAATTTTAACAATTTCTTTTTTGACCTTCCAGTAGAATTTTTACCTTCCTCAAAAATATCACAAATATAAGGAGTAATAAAATCATTATAATTGATAAATATTTATTTACATATATATCAGTCAATTGTTGAGCAGTTTTTATTTTATTTAATTACTATAATATTTGGTATTCTTTTTATTATTATATAATGATATTTGGTTAATATAAATAAATTATAATTTTTTTAAACTCAAGGTTGGAAGATGTCCTCACCAAAAGACCTCATAAGTCCATTGATTAATTCGGGATTATTCTATTATATTATTTTGGTTTGAATTTCATACACAGCAATTAATTGTAATTTTTTTATTTGTGATATAACATTTGCCAGTACATTTTATATAATATAGTTTCTCCATGGGAAATAGGGCTTTGATGAAGTGAAGTTTCTCTAAGATTGGTGTCTCAAATACGATTTTATCTTCTAGTCTCTTCCAGGACAGAATTTCTCCATATGTTCCTTGGCCAATTTTATTTGGCCACTGAGAATTCCATTCAAGAGCTTCCTGGGTGATACCTGCTTTCCTCCTTAAGATGTGCCCGATTCACTACCATTTCACTTGCCTAATTTGATCTTCTATTTTTCTCTGTTTGATTATTCTCAGTAGCTCATCATCTGTAATGCTTCTAGGTCATCCTCCGTGTATCTGAGCTATAGAGGAGCACTGTATTTTTGTAGGAGTTGAATATGTGGAGCCATCTGTCCAGACTTATTTTTCTGGCTTTCCACATGGTGTGGAACTATGCAAAAGTCTTTCTAATCTGGCTTTCCACATCATCTTTCGCTCCTCCACCTGTTGCCATTACATTTTCAAGATATATGAAAGCCAACACTTCTTGTATTTGGTCTTGGTTTGTGTTTGGCTCCTCATTTTTGGTGTTTCCTCTCATGGTTTATGCTCATGCTAGTACATACAACTTTTTAAAAAAAGTCTTAATATTGATGGTCTACAATGAAATATGTCTATCTTGAAGAACATGAGGTAAAAAAAAAAATGCTTTGATAGATTTTGATCAAAATTATGCCATATTCTTCTTTGTATTTATATTACTTTGCATTAAATATCTACCTTTGCTGTTTTTTAAATTAACCATGACTAGTTTTCATCCAAACTATGAAATATGAAAAAATATGTGTATGTGTGTGTAAAAATATGTATATGAAAAAAAAACTCAATTTTTAAGAAAGAAAAAGAATTTTTGAAAATGACTTTTGGTGTCGGAATGTTAAAAAATAATAATTTTTAAATGTTTGTACAGCCAAATTCCATTTGCCAACATTTAAGGAGGAGTTTACACTATTATTGAATGCTATATACTCACTTTTTGTTTTGCTCATTTCTAGGCCTCCTTACACATAAATTTCCATTAGCTTCCTCATCATAAAGGAAGCATCTTAATCTATTATCGCCATACCATTACACTTTCTTTTCTATAGTCTAAGGATACTTTCAACACATATATTAAACAGTTGAGGGGAGAGTGAGCAGCAGCCTTGCTTGAGACCTTTGGTAATTGGACATTCCTTTGTTAGGCCACCT